TAGACTGAATGGTGGATGCCCCAGACGCTTGTGATGGAGCCAAATCATAGACTCTGCAGTAGAAGGATGACATGTCATTAATAACTGATTTTTACTATCATTTATAGCATGTTCTGGAAGGAGATAATACAACCCATCCTGCTCATTAGCAACTCCAATTGTCTTCATCGTGGTAAGATCCTGAATAACACAATGAGAAGGGAAAAATGTGATAGAACAATTCAAATCAGTTGTAAGTTTTTGAGCGGAGATAAGATTAATAGAAAGTTGAAGAACATAAAGAGCATTTTTAAGAAACAAGGAAGGTTGAATTTGAATGTTACCAGAACCAATAACTGATTTATGGGATCCATCAGCTACGGATATAGTATGACTACCAACAATAGGATGATAAGAAAGAAAAAACTCAGTACGACAAGTCATATGATCAGTTGCACCAGAATCCAAAATCCATGAGGTTTTAAAATCAGTGCAAGAAGAGATGTAGAACGTGTGATCTTACCAGACAAGATCAAAGAACGGTCAGATGGCTTACACATATTATCAATAGCGGGTTTAAGCTGATCCAACTCCCTTTGCTGAATATTCACATATGGAGAAACATGTGGAGACTGCGTAATAATCGAACCATCTTCTAAATTGGCCATAGTGATAAGAGAGAGTGAAAAACAGCACCAAAAACACACAACGTACACCCAAACGACGTTAGATCAGAGACAAAACCAAGCAGGAAAAGTTTTTTTTTCGTGAACAGTACCGCGTGAACAGTGCGCGATGAACACTACCGCGTTTTTTTTTTTGAACTGTTCCGGTCGTCTAATGAAAAAGAAACCTCCGTAGAATGATAGATCTAAGAAAACGGAGTGAAACAAGGGTCCTCACGGTCCAAAAGGTCTCCGGAAATTTTTTTCCGGTGGCGGCTTTGTGGCGGCGAGAGTCAAATAGGGTTTGATTTTTAAAGACGGTGATTTGCGGAAGCAGAGCCCTCAGAATCGAGAGCTCTGATACCAACTTGAAAAAGGGTAATGAAATATATTATTGAATTGTATGTAAACTGTATAAAGAGTACTCTATTTAAAAAGAATACATGACCTAATGGGCTAAACTCAATACAACAAATAAATAAATAAATATTATTATTTACAACACAACTATGTTAAGATCTAGTTGCAAAGTATGGGACTTGGAGTCCCACATCAGAAACATAAGGTTCTAGATTGAGGTTTATATGGACTTTGAGCTTTCCTATCTTACGAGCTAGCTTTTGAGGTGAGGCACTCCGAAGGTTCATATTAATTAGTATCAGAGTCTTCCACTATGTCTCCTAGTTGCAATTGAGCGGAGTGGCTGGTGACGCTGGCATTGTAGTGTTCGCCCAAGGCTAGTAAAAGACTAGCACAAAGTCAGGATGCATGGGCGCCGGAGCTGTGGAGCGTGGTGGGATGTTATGATGCAATTGCAAGGTATAATACTTGAAGTCCTACATCAGAACATAAGGTTCTGGTGTGAGATTTATATGGACTTTGGGATCTCTTATCTTACGAGCTAGCTTTTGAGGTGAGGTTTTCCCAAGGTTCATATCAATTGTCAAGCGGTTACATACAATAAATATGAGCTTTATTGAGGAAGCTCTGCCGCAAGCATGCAAGTGCACACAAATAATTATTCTCTTTTCAGATCATTTCATTTCAAAGAATAATAGTTTAAATAGATAAAGAGTGAGAGATATCAACACAACCATGATTCCTCTAACCACCTACTACTAATCAAAATAACAACCCCATATCCAACTACCTACATAACCATCATATATTAGACTAAGTAAAATTATAATAATAGAAAATAATAATTAATTCATAACATTCCCTCCTCATAAAAATTACTCCCTCAAGATTTAGATCACGTAATTGCATCTTCCATATTCATGTTCGTATCTCCATTGCTTCCCTCCATCATGGCATAGATTAAGAACAACTTTTTACATCCATGGCCCAGAGCATAAGTCTCATTGTAGTGGAAACTCAATCTTTTTTAATAGTATAAAGAGATAAATAGTGAGAGATATCAACCACAACCATGATACCTCCAACCACCTATTACTAATAATCAAAATAATTACCTCATATCCCATTACCTACATAACCACCCTATATTGGACTAAGTAATTATAATAATAGAAAATAATAATTAATTCATAACATTCTGGCTTTGCAGTGTTCGCCTAGGATTAGAAAAAGCTAGCGCCAAGCCAGCCTGCGTGAGCGCCTGGGCTGCTGAGCGTGGTGGAATGTTACAATCCAATTGTAAGATATGGGACTTGGAGTCTCATATCGGAAACATAAGGTTCTAGTGTGGGGCTACGATGCATGGATACGGACACGGGACACGACACGACACGCCGACACGTTAATTCTAAAAAATGTCATATTTTGACACGTTGGGACACGTTTTGATATTAAATAAAATTTTTAATATATATAATATAATTTATATTTAATAAATATAAGTGACTATAATAAGTCATATAACCAATCAAATATTTAAATTTCATAACATAAATATAAATATAAATAATTTTTCGTACTTTGTTAATTTTTCATGTCAAATTTCATAACAGACAAAAATTAATTCCTAAATTATTTCTTTTATATTAAGTTAACAAAATAAAATTAAGATTTTTTCTTTTAAAAAAAAAAAAAACGTGTCCGAGCGTTGACCGCGTGTCGGAAAAAGTTGACTGTGTGTCGGAAAAACGTGTCAGAACATGTCGGAGAGTTGACCGCGTGTCCCCAAATGTTGACCGCTTGTCCGAGCGTGTCCGTGTCCGACACGTGTCCGACACGCAAATTTTCAAAAAATAAGCGTGTCGGTGCTTTCCAGGTGTGGGGTATGTATGGACTTCGGGTTCTTCTACCTTACAAGCTAGCTTTTGGGGTGAGGTTTTCTCAAGGTTCGTTATAATTAGTATCAGAGCCTTCCATTATGTCTTACAGTTGCAATTGAGTGGCGTAACGGGTAATGTTGGCATTGCAGTGTTTGTCCATGGCTAGGAAAAAACTAGCCCCAAACCAACCCGGGTGGGAGTGGGGGCTGCGGAGCGTGGTGGAATATTACAATCCAATTGTAAGGTACGGGACTTGGAGTCTCACATTTGAAACATAAGGTTCTGATATGGGGTTTATATAGACTTTGGGGTCTCCTACCTCATGAGCTAGCTTCTGGGTGAAGTTCTCCCAAAGTTCCTATATTGCAATTGGATCGTAACATCCTACCACGCTTTGCAGCCCCAGTGCCTCACGACCTGAATTTGCGCTAATCTTTAATTTCTCATCATATGGAATGAAATCATTAGATGAATTATTTGGAAAAGCAGTGTGCAAGAGGTCAAGTTTCCTCAATAAAGCTACCTTTCTATGTATGTAACAACTTGGTATCAAAGCCAGGCATGGAAAAACGGGTGAAAAAATTAGAAGACGCAGTTCGGGCACTCTCCATTCAGTTAAAGGAGAAGTTCACCCAACTCTCAAATCAACTAGATGTTTTAGTATCAACCACCAAACCACAACCTCACACCCATTGTCATTGCTCTCATTCTATTCCTAGTCTTCATTGGCTTTCACACCCAAACATTTTCTTTCTTTAACTCTCTTCACTAAACGAGCAACCCCCTCTCCAACTCATCTCTCTTCCATTCAAAATCCTAATTTATTGCCTTCTAACTCTTTGGTATATTTTATTAACCATTTTTACTTGAATTCGAAATGGGATACTCCACAGTCAATTCATTGATTGGTGTTCGAAGAAAATCAGAGACAAAAAGGATTGAGTTTCCACTACAATGAGACTTGTGCTCTGTGCCATGGATGTAAGATGTTGTTCTTAATCTATGCCATGATGGAGGGAAGCGATGGAGATACGAACATGAATTTGGAAGAAGATGCAATTACGTGATCTAAATGTTGAGGACAAGAGTAATTTTTAAGAGGGAAGGAATGTTATGAATTAATTATTATTTTCTATTATTATAATTTTACTTAGTCCAATATATGATGGTGATGTAGGTAATGGGATATGAGGTAGTTATTTTGATTATTAGTAGTAGGTGGCTAAAGGAATCATGGTTGTGGTTGATATCCTTCACTCTTTATCTATTTAAACTATTATTCTATGAAATGAAAGGACCAGAAAAGAGAAGAATTGTTTGTGAGTTGTTACATACATAGAAGGATAGCTTTATTGAGGAAGCTTGACCTCTTGCACACATTGCTTTTCCAAATAATTCATCTAATGATTTCATTTCATAGAATAATAGTTTAAATAGCCAAAGAGTGAGAAATGTCAACAATAACCCATAATTCCTCTAACCACCTACCACTAATAATCAAAATAACTACCCCATATCCAACTACCTACATAACTACCTTATATTGGACTAAGTAAAATTATAATAAAAGAAAATAATAATTCATTCGTAACTAGGTTGCCTTGGCACAACGGTTGCCTTGGCACAACGGTTGGTGTTGGCACAGGTTCAATTCATGTAATCAGCCTCTTGCATTAGCTACCTACTATAGACTCACATAATAAGTCTAACCCTTCCCTGCACCCTGCGTATAGTGGGAGCTTTATAGCAACATCTAACTTTTTTTTTCCAGTGTTGCACAAGTTTCAGTTACTTTTTGATACAAAATAATGAGTTGTTGTATCTTTAGTAAAAAAAAGTCCTTTTAATTGGTATTTCTGTTGTGCGACATAGGTAGAGTGTATTGTCTGAGAGAATTTAATCTTGAATTAGCCATGTGGCTTGCCATGCGAAGTTGTTTTTATCATCCCTTCCCCCTGTATATTCCTAAATGGGTCATTGTCTGTTCTTGCATTTTTATCCTAACAAGTTTTCACTCAGTTTTTGAAACCTATGGGTAACTTGGTTCGACTGTCATGTTTGTTTCTGTGTCTAAGGTCCCGTGGCAATATATTATGTTGATTTATGTCATTGACAGGGTGCTGTTGAATCTGTATCTATTGGTGAAATTAAACTCAGCTTACGCCATTCATTAGTCAAACTTTGTGTGAGTTTTAATTCTTGGGATCCAAAGTTGCAAGTGTTAATATGCAACCTAGAAGTTTCTATGAGGCCTTCAAATAAAAGCCCTGGGAAGAAGAAAACTCGGAAATCCAGTGCTCGACCTTTGGACCGGGGAAAATGGATGATTATAGGCAATATTGCAAGATATTTGTCAGTTTCTGTGACAGATCTTGTTTTGAAGGTATGCATCTCCATATTACTATAGTTTTCTTCTTGTTTAGCCAAATATATGTTAATTTTTTTTTTTTTATAACAATATATGTTAATTTTAGTATTTTCAATACTGGTATCTTTTTGTGTTTTTATTGTTTTGAGGAGTAAATTAACGTTTATTGCGAAATATATACTTCTGTGTTTAAACTAATATTTATTTTATTTTTTGTTTTCACTTGGATTAGGATCTTAATAGAAAATTTTCTTTGAGTCACTGAGAGTCTCTTTTGAATGTTGCAGACACCTAAGTTTACCTTTGAGACCACAGAGTTGAACGTGGATATATCTAAAGATGGTGGATCCGTGTCCGATTTGTCTGTTAGGGTACAAATATTGCCTATTGTTGTTCATATTGGTGAGCCTCAAGTTAGTTGTGATCTGTTATCAAATGTTTATGGTGGAGGATGCAGTGCTTCTAGCCAGGCATCTGTCGCTGCTATTAAAAAACCTTCTGCTCATTTTATTTGTGAAAAATTCTCCGTCTCTTGTGAATTTGGTCATGATAGGTATTATTCTTTCTTGTATACAATTTTCTAGATATTAATCTTGCACTTGTTTGAGTGGTGGTAGGAAGTAGATTTGTGTCCAAGATGTTCACAAGAGGTTCGGTGTAAACCTTACCATTAAAGGTAATGGGAGTTTGTAAGGATAGACTTCAGTTATAGCACCTCTCAGTCGTGAACTAAACTAATAGAAACAGGCTGTAAGTTTGACAAATATTGCATTGTTGGACCCCAATTTGAATATTCCAAACCAACTATAAATTTCTTTCAATTTGATTCACAATTGTAGTGGCACACCATGCTTACCTAAGAATTTATAAAATTATAAGATCTGTCAAATGGAACTTCCTTCTTAATCTTTATGTTTGTAGCTGATCATTTGTTTGTTTGCCCACTTTGCAGTTTCCAAATATCCGCTTATTTAGAAGTTTTTTTTTTCACTTTGTTGAAGTTGTACATGGGTTAAAAAGTGTGAGATCAAAGAGATTTGAGAAAGAGAATGTGAGAGAAAAAGAAAAGTTTAGGTCTGACATTGGAACTGAATATTGTAATTTTGTCACATTTCCTTGTTACATTGAACTAAATATTTATAGAACAAGAAACTAACCTAGAGTCTGATATAGGTTTAATTGATTGTGTTAGCACCTATATCAGGTAGTTAGAAACGATTACAATTAGTTATATATGTACAACAATTCGGGGGTTTGTTTGGAAATTAGATCAGATCAAACAAATTCCGATTCTAAACGAGACTAATGGGCATAATCTCTAGCATTCCCTCCTCAAATTCAGAGAGGAAAGGAGAGCTAAAAGGGGTCAAACATCCTAACTTTTCGCACAAACCATAGAATGGTGATTTGGAGAAGGACTTAATTAGTGCATTAGAGAGTTGATCATTAACAGGAACATGTGCTACAATCAAGCTGTTGTTAAGCAGCTTTTCTCGCAAAAAAAAGATGTCTAGCTCTATGTGCTTGATGCCAATATAGGGCCACATATTATAAGAGGGAAATTCTGCTCATTTTGTCACAATATATGACTAGAGTTGGGTCAGGAATGTGGAGTTCATGCAACAAGATCTGAATCCAGAGAAGCTCAGTAGTTGTTTAAGCCAAACTACAGAATTATGCTTCAATGCTGAAACGAGCAACAATTACTTGCTTGTGAGACCACAATGAAATCGAATTAGGACTTAAGAAAACACATTCACCAAAAATAGATCTGCAATCATTAGGACCATAACCTTAATTTGCATTACAAAAGGCCCAAATAGAGAGAGGGGGCATATGGGCAACACAACAAGCCGTAGGAGGAAGTAAAGCAATGAAGTTCCTATTAGGAATGTGGCTCCTTATATCCTCAGTTCCCTTCGAGTAACGCAAGATGCGTTTAACAACCTGCCGGTGAGATTCCAAAGGCTAGGACATGAACTGGCAAACCTTATTGACATTATAAGATATCTCAAGCTTTGTGATTGAAATTGCAACATATTTAAGGGCGATGTTTGCTATGTTTACAGCCACCAATGATGGGAGTAGAAATCCTTTCGCTTTGAATAGAGAAATATAGTATAAAACCATTAATGTGGTCTTCACCTAATAGCTTTAGTTTTTGAGAGAATTAGTTGTTTAACATTGGATTAGAGCCTCTGTGACCAAGTGGTCACGAGTTCAATCATCACCGCCCTTTATTGTATTAATAAATAATTAAATATTGTAGAGTTTCTTAGAGCACGTAGGTGGGGCCTGTGTGTTGTCCACCTTTCAAGTCCAATGGTTTCTTGTGTGAGTGACCGTGTTAAAGAAATATGATATAAATTATTAATGCAATCTTCATCTTATAGCTTAAACTTTTGAGTTAAATTGGTACTTTACAACGTTACTCATATGAGACTTAACTAACAATTCCCCAATGTATTTAGCTTGAGAGAGAAAAAGACAGCCATTGGGGAGTGTATTGACCTTAATTGCTAAGAAATAAGTAAGAGAACCTAATTCTTTAGGAGAGAAGGCAGAATCGAGCTCCTGAATATGAGGCAGAGAAGAGAAAGTTGAGGATGAGGAAAGAGGAGTAGGAGCTGTAGAGGATCTAAGGGAAGGACAAGCAGTGGTAGGTGAAGATTAAAAGGTGTAAAAAAGTTGTGGAGGGGTAGAAGCAAAAGTGGAAATAGGTTGAAAGGAAGATAATGAAGTTGACCCTGAGACCAACGGTGCTGGAAGACTAGAAGATGCATCTTGGAGGTGGATGCTTAGGAAAAAGGAAAATAAAATTCATTAAAAAGAATAATTTTAGAGATGTAAGGAAGACCAATGGGAGAGAGGAACTTCTAACCCTTTTATGCTGATGAATAAGTGGACCGATTATGAAGTTTGTCGTGGTTGTAAGGTCTTACAAGGGGATAGCATTCATAACCAAAGACCTTAAGGGAACTTTAAACAGGGGATTGATCCCAAAAATGTTTAGGCAGGTATGCATGGGCAAGACCTATTTCAATAATCTACTTATGTTTTCTTTCAACAGAATGAATTTGGTGGTGAGTATTGGGACAAATTTACCTATGAACAATGCCAAGATCTGCCAGGACTTTGGATAAAGGTCTGAACTCCCTAGCCCAGTTAGTTTGTGTATGGATTTAATTTCCTTCCCGAGCAATTAATCAATCATGAACTTGAAACAAAGAAATGTGGGAAGGGCTTTAGATTTAGTTTTAAGAAGATGAATCCAAGAGTAGAGTACATTCATCAAATGGTATTGAAAGCCATCAACGGAAGTTATAGAGGAAGATTATGCAACAAAAGCTGGATTAGAAGCACTAGTGAATGTTGTATCAAAATGGTGATAACAGATGGGTAGCATCATGACCATACTTGTGGTAGAATTAACACTTAATAGAGCTCCGGTAATTGCCATGACCACCTCTACCAGAACGGCCTTCGCAACCATTTTGATAACCATGGTTGGGCCAAAAGTCGTAGTAGTTGAAAGGTGGCCTATAGGAAGGTGGTTGAGGATATTAAAACTGCGAAAAATGAGCATAAGCTCCAAAGCTAGGTGGAAGCTATGCTTGAGAATTCTGAGGTTGAGGCCAGAGATGCAGAGTCTGTAGATTGCTTGGAATTGAAATCGGAAGGTTTGTGCAAGGTTGACAGAGAGTGAGTCAGACAACAACACCGATTTATGGTTGTACAATTGTGCTTCATGAGCTAAAAACAAAGTCTTAATCTCATTTATAGTGTAGGGATCCAAGTAACTATTGATAGAAGTAACAAAAGACTCATATTCATCGTGAAGTCTCTCCAAGATCTCATCAATGTGTGCATGTGGAGAGACCTAAAAACCAATGGATATTAATAAATCAATAATGGCTTGATACATAAAATGTACTCAGAAATGGCCCGAGAGCCTTTGTTAGTGTTGTGGAGTTCAGGTCAAAATTGGCAAACCTTTGCGCAAGTTTGGTAATGAAAGAAACGATGAATCTCATCCCATAGTGCATTCAAAATGCCATAATACTCTGTCACAGAGAAAGAGTCTTGCTTGGTAGAAAAAATCTTATTTCGCAGATCATAACAGGTGGTGGCATCATGTTTCATTGAATAGGTATGTTTAAGAACATCCCAGATCTCAAGAGCAGTAGGTAAGAACATGCAATGTTGACTAACCTCAAGAGTCATAGAGTTTCATAGCCACGTCATAATAAGTGAGTCTTCATCATCCCAATCAACAAATGTTGGAGCTGTTTTGGCAGGAATAGGTCCTTCAATATGAGCAACTTTACGGCGTCCTTTGAGGATGGTACGAACAACCTGGGACCATTGTAAATAATTCTTTCTAGTAAGACGGTAATTCTGATGAAGAGCATAAGATCAGATGGAGAAAGAATAGCCATCGGGCTTGTAATAAATGGTTGACCAGTTGAAGGATGACTGATTGGAGTGTCTTCAACTTCTGACATATCACTGACAAGAGAATCAAGACGATCGGAACCGTAAAAGGTCTTCTTTTTTTAGATCGAACAACTAAATGGTGTCGGATCAAACAAACAAGGACAGATCCAGGAAGAGCAAGAAGAGACGAGCAGAACAGAAGTGGTTCGAGGCCAAGAACCACCGTCACGCGCCGGTGAAGTTGTCGGCAAGTGGGCTTCACGCGCAAAGAGGAGGGTGGCGTGTGGAGGCGCATGTGATGTCTGTTGGCGCTGGGCTTTTCAGGGTGAGGTCGTCCGGTGAGCGCGACCGTGTCTGTGGCTACTCGGAGTCAAAAGGTCACCGGAATAGTGCTGTTTTGGAGTCGGAACAGTGCTGTGTTCTTGTTTCGAAGCTGTTTCGGTCGTCTAATGAAAACGAAACCTCCGTAGAATGATAGATCTGAGAAAATAGAGTGAAATAGGGGTCCTCACGATCCAAAAAAGTCCCCGAAAATTTTTTCGGTGGCGGCTTTGTGGTAGGGATAGGCAAACAGGGTTTGTGGCGGTGATTTGCGGAAGCAGAGCTCTGATACCAACTTGAATTTAATAATATTGAATTGTAATATTGAATTGTATAAAATCTGTACAAGAGCTCTCTATATAAAAAGTACTGAAAGATCTAATGGGCTAAGCCCAAAATACACTTCTAGAGTATTTTAGCTATTACAAATAAAAAGATAAAATTCTAATATTTACAACGGTATCCAAGTAACTATTGATAGAAGTAACAAAAGACTCATATTCATCGTGAAGTCTCTCCAAGATCTCATCAATGTGTGCATGTGGAGAGACCAAAAAACCAATGGACATTAATAAATTAATAATGGCTTGATACATAAAATGTACTCAGAAATGGGTCGAGAGCCTTTGTTAGTGTTGTGGAGTTCAGGTCAAAATTGGCAAACCTTTGCGCAAGTTTGGTAATGAAAGAAACGATGAATCTCATCCCATAGTTTCTCGGAGTGGATGGAACCTATTACACAGGAAAGAACCTTGTTGGAGAGTGATGTGAAAAGCCATAAGAGCAGCAACTGATTCCGTGAGAGTGACGCGGTCACAACCACTATCCGATTCCATGAGAAAATGTAGAGGGATTCTAGGATTCACCAACAAACGGTGCAACCTGTGACCTTTGATCACATTTTCAACATGTTGTTTCCATTGCAGGAAATTTTTCTCGTTCTATTGCTCAAAGACCAATGGAAGAAAGTGATTAGAGCAATTGTCGGAGTAGAGAGAAAAACAGAAGGCAGAGAAAATTGCGGGAGCTGTGGATTATGGAATGGGTTGACCAATGTAGGCATGGGAGGATCGAACTAACCTCTGGATACCAAGTTGAAGTTGTACATGGGTGAATAATTGAGAGATCGAAGAGATCAAATAGGGAGAACGTTAGAGAAAGAGAAAGGAAAGTTGAGGTTTGAAACTGAAATTTAAATATTGTATTTCTTTCGCATTTCGTTGTTACATTGAATTGAATATTTATAGAACCGAAAATTAACCTAGAGTCTGATGTTGGTGTAACTTGTTCTGTTAGCCCCTACAATATCAAGAAGTTAGAAACTGTTACAATTAGTTACACATATGTACAAGAGTTGAGGGTTCTGTTTGGAAATCAAATTAAACCGATTCTAATTCTAAATGAGACTACTTGGTGTTCTCTCTAACGAACTTGTTCTTGTATCTTTTACCATCAGAGTAGGGTTACTTGAGTTAACTTTGATACACTCATCCTTTCTTGATTTCTCATTTTGTGTCCTTCCATGGCTTCTTAGTTTTTTTTTTCTCCTTTTTGGACACAGGGAAATTGGTATAATTGTTAAGAATGTGGGCATTTCCATTGGAGAGGTCACCGTGAATTTGAATGAGGGGTTGCTTGTGAAAAGAAAGAGTTCATCGGAATCTCCTTCTAGCTCTAACAGAAATATAGGGACAAGTATGGATTCTATAAGCACAAAACAACCTTCCAAGAAGCAGCAAACACTTGCTGGATACAGCTCTTTGTTTCCTGAAAAGGTTTGTTATTTAAACATACTTCGTTATTTTTAATCATAATGTATACTTCCTGATCCTTGGCACAATGGTAAATTTGTTACCTTGTGAATGGGTGGTCATGTATTCTATTTATAGAAATAGCTTCTCTGCTTATTTGGGTAAGGATGTATGCATCTAACCCTCCCCCAACCCCACAATGGTGGGAGCCTCATGGGTGCCCTTGCATAGAGAGATGGGAAAAAAAATGCAGAGGATGAGATATCCTCCTCAAACACCAAAAAATAGGAAAAGACATAAGAAGCATAAGAAGTACATTAATACAATAATTGAAGTGTATTTTACTTCAAAGGTATCATCTATTTAACCTTGCTTAAGTAATTTCTTTCATTATCAATCAGTGTTTAAAGTTGAACAATGCACAAGTCTACTTATGCTTAAATTGAACTTTTTTATTAGAAGAGTGAGAGTGGCAAGTAAAGAACTCTAAACCACTTAGTCATAAGAGGCTTTGGTACCATGTGAAAATATTATGTTGACTTGAGTTCTGCAATAAGGTATATTACATCAATGAAAATAAGGAAACCAAATGATTACAAGGATCAATCTTAATTGACAAAAAATCAGAAGAAATACTATTTGATCCCGAAGATTAAGAGACTTCATATCTTTCCTAATATACAATGATATCCTAAATGTTTTCCACAGATATTCTCATACATTCTTTCACTATATGAATGTGTCTGACAGCACCTCCTTTTTCTAAGAATTAGGTGAAGGACAGCCAGGTCTTGTATGTGGGAATCTTAAACAATTAAGAAAAATAATCTACTTTATGAAAATATGTAAGTAGTTGGTAACCTTTCTTTAGTCTAAATGTTTTTAAAGTTTTCATCTATTAACCTCTTCATTCTGAATGAAAGTCAGGGACTGTCTTGCCAAGTATTCATATCTATGATTCCTTGACTTGACATTCTGGTATGGTTTTGTTTTCTCGCATTTGTTCCATTAACATACAAGCCTGAATGTTAGTGTACCACTTCTAGTATCTACTCTTTTCCAGAGATTAACCTTCTTTCTATTGTGCCTACGAGCAGTAGAATAAATGAATTTTTAAGATTTTAATAATTTTCTCTATTATCTAATAAATTTTCTTCTTTTATCAACTGCAATTTGTATAGCTATGAACTTTATATTTTTTATTTAGTTGTATCTCCTGTCTAAATAATCTTGTCATCTAATGGTTCTTTATTAATCTCTTCTGTTGCTGTTTAGTGTTACCAATTCAGGATGTAGGTAGGTCCTATGTTCTTTGATTGGAGAATATTGGTCCATCTAATAAGCAAAGTGCATATATCATCATTTTATCTTTCCGGTTGGTTGTGTGGCATAGTGATGTGTCTTTGTGCAGCATTTCCCCCAACTTAATGTTGTTTGCATGGTACATCATTCATTAATTGCCTTGTTATAGATACTAGTTTTTCAAGGTACCTTCATTTTTTTTCAGAATACTAGGATTTGGCTTTAGGGCAAATGTGGTTCCTTCACCTTTAAGTCTCCATGAATTTCATGTTTGTGTTCTTGATGATTTTTGGTTTCCTTATGGGTAATTAGATTTGGAATCCCGGGCCCTATTCAAATTCAAAGCATTTGTCAACTTTGTGGTACTTAATTGGATAATAATTTTATGTTATATTTAACCAAAGGTAAAATCGTTAAAAGTTTTTTTTTCAAACGGTTTTAATGTCAGCTGTGGAATTATACTTGTTATTGATAGGTCAGTTTCAATCTGCCAAAGCTGAATGTGAGTTTTACACATCGCGAATATGGTATTTCTGTTGAAAGTAACATCACGGGCATCCAATTGGAAAGCATCAAATCACGATCCACTAAGGATGTTGGGGAGAGTACATGCCTTGATTTTCAACTGGAATTTAGTGAAATTCATGTATGGAGTGTGTCTGTTGATTTGTTGAAGCTCTTGTGGTACAATTTTCACCTTTTCACTTTTCCTCTCGCTTACAAATTTTCTTTTGTTCCATTGATATTACAGCTTCTTAGAGAAGCTGGTACTTCCACCCTAGAGATATTGAAGTTGAATTTGGTCTCTTTTGTATACGTCCCAATACAGGTAAGTCATTTACAATCCAAATAAGGCACCTTTGTATCACCGCAAAATTGGTATTGTTTTGTGTTTACTCCAACTGGCAAAATTTTCTTAACATTAAGAACAATAAAATGGGGAATCTTGTGCACCGGGGTTTGCCCTAAGAGCAATAAAATGGTAAAATACACTTTATATAGAGAAATATATTAGAAAGCAAACTGGCTGTTGAAGTCTTATCACCTTTAATAATCAGGTGGATAATTTTTGGGGGCCTACACATGGAGTATTTTTATGCATGAAACTAACATGCAAAGCCACTTTTGGTATTAAACAATTCACATGCCTTTCACCTAATAGCTTAAATTTTTAGGAGAGTTGGTCCTTGTTATGGTATAAGAGCCTCCTTGATCTTTGGTATCTCTATTCTTCTAATAAATGTTGATTTTTAGCACTAGGTAGAGTGTGCTTGCACATTTTTCCTGTTTTAAGCCCAAAGAGTTATTATTGCATAAAGATTTGTCTTAGAGATATGGAACCAGCCTTAAGCATTCACCTAACAGCTTTATCTTTTAGGGAGTTGTTCATTGATGGCCACAGTATTTTGTAAAAGAATTTCTGCAGAAGTTTATATCTAAATGGCAATGTTCTCCTAATATGAATGAAGAATGCTTACTGTCCTGGTGATTATTTTAATAGGATTTTACCTAACTATAAACGAGTATAAATGCATACAGATAGACTTTAGGAAGTTTAACTTTGTAACAGAAACTGCATCTTCTTTTCGTTATAGAAAAAGATGAATTATTAACAAGGTAATGGAAGTAAATAAAAATATATAATTGTGTAGTTATTATTGATTTGTTTTTTCTTTTATTAGATAGATTATGATAGGACAGACTATAGGGAAATTATGTGTACAGATTATAGGTTTGATTTACTCTTGATTTGTTTTCCTAGAATGAGCTCTTTAATTAGGAAAGCAATTATTCTCATTAGGCTACATATTGTAAACCTATGTACGAGATCAGTCAAGTGATAATAAATAGATTGTTCTTGCACATAGATAAGGGGAAAGAGCCTTATGTGACCTATGAACCTTCAATATGTTATTAGTATTGAATCTATCAAGCAATAGTATCCAGAAAAATTACTTGACCTTAGGGGGAGCTTTGGATTTCCAAAGGGGTTTATCAAGAAGAAAAATATCCCCATTCAAAGAATGAGTGAGGAGATAGGAAAAAAAGTGTGATAGAGAGGAAAGAGAAGTATATACTGAAACCCTGGGCATGAACTTCACAATGGAGACTGTATATATAGAATTAGTGCAATTGATGCTATGACATAGTTTCCTCATTACTATCATCACCTGATTTGGTTAGATTATACAATGAAACCAAAGACTAATTATTTATTATGCTCTAAACACTCTTCCACAAGCTAGGGATATAGGTTATAAGCACCAAGCTTGTTACATAGGTAGGGGACCCGAGGACCTCTCAAGGACTCATTGAAAACACCTGTTAAATGATCATTTCAATTGACAAAGCTAGTGACGATGTCTTTTGACATGATTTTCTCTTTGTTAAAGAGTCAATCTATCTCTCTATGCTTGGTCATTTTATAGAAAATTATATTAGCGGAGATATTCAATGTAGCTTGATTATCTCAAATGAGTATTTGCATACTCTCCCTGGATTGAAGCTTTTTAAGTTGTTGTTTTAATCGACTGAGTTTGCAAGTGGTTGAAGACAATATTCTACTTCAACACTTGATCTTCCGACCATATTTTATTTCTCACTTTTTTAGAATATCAGATTACCCCCAATGAAACACGAAACTTAGAAGTGGATTTTCTATCAATCGAAGAATCTATCCAATTAGCATTTGAATATCCAACAATTTTGTTTGAGAGATATAATAACTTGAAAAGAAAAACTAAAATAGTATTGCTATTCAAATCTAATCATGTACAAAAGGATACAATATATAGAGAGAGACTAATGGGCTTAAAGGCAATAATCCAAATCCTAAAAAATAAAGAAACAAATAATTACAAATAAGGAAACAAAAAATTAGAGATACTTTTAATATTTACAACACTCTCCCTTAAGAGGAATGGATATTTATTATTCCCAACTTGTTAGTAAGTTCTTGAAATCTATCGAGTCCCTTGGTCAAGACATTAGTTAGTTGACGAATAGAAAGAATATATAGAATAGTGATCAGTCCGCTATCTAGTTTCTCCTTGATGAATTGGTGGTCGATTTAAATATGTTTTGTTCGGTCGTGTTAGATAGGATTGTGGGCTATACAGATGGTTGACTTATTATCGCATAGTAACTTTATACGTTATTCACATCTCACCTTAAGATCATCAGGAATGATTTTTGCCATAACAATTCACAAATACCTTGGGCCATGGACCGAAATTCTGCCTCTGTATTTACCGAAATTCACTTTTACGGTTTTTACATAACTGAACATGGTTCAGTAATCTGCATATTGCGAGAGTTATGCATGCTACGAACCTCCCATCTTTTAGTATGTTATTCTAGACTTAATTATCTTTCCAACAAGCTATCACACGCTCCATAAAGTTCTCGTTTGCTCTGGTTATCACCGTTTGAAGTTGGACAAGCAAAGCTGTCAACCAACCTCAAACAGGACACCAAACAACCTCTACTCTTTCAGCGATTCTGGACAAACTAATCCACCAATTGCTCTCAAATTTTTATAAAGTAAACTAGACACCTCAAGCTTCAATTTGACATATCATGGGCCTAATTTCACCAAGAATTTAGGGAGAAATAAATTTCCCAACCCAGGTCACCCGACAGCCCCTGCAACAGGGCGTCCAGAACAGTCTGTACTCAAATGCCTCTACAGATCTGCGTACAACTCCAATGGCTATCAAATTTTGACACAATATAATTGACATCTCAGCTTTCAAAATGGTGTATGGAACGTCCCTATTGGACATCTATGGAGGGAGATATGTCCTCGCAAAGTTCACCCAAAATCTGCCATTTTATAGAAAATTCGACGGCATCTCCTTTGTTTATTTAACCTATCCCATTTTATCAAAAGTGTGTTATTATCCTCAAATGGTACCTAATAGACATGGGTGGCACTCAAGGACCAACAATTCCTTGGTGCTCTTACAACCCACAACAATTTATATCAATTTACTCAACTTACAAATCATTACTTACATTGTTAAACTTAAACCATTTCAATCACATTATCTCATTTGCATGCATTCTTTCAACATACACATAATCATAACTTAAAATAGGCCTATTGTCCTTTCATTATAATTCATACTGCAATATTACACAAGGTCCAATATTTACAAATTACCATTCTCCAATGAAAGCATAATACAATAAGTCCTCCGAGATACAATAAAATGAATCTCCAAAATACATCATGATAAATATACAACTAGACTTAGGCAAAATGTGGCATGAACAAATATGACAATATGCATAATACTAAATCCATATACAATGTTCATGCCCTAAGTCTAGCCTATGCCAAAGTGGCCCCAAAAATGCAAAAGTGCTCAAATCTCCAAGTGCTCATCATATGGGCCTCTTGCCCACTGTTACTACCTGAAATAAATGTCCCAACACGGGATGAGATATACGAATATATCTCAGTAACCCAGAGGTTCTAGAGATTACTCCGCCCAATGGCTCACTCAGATGTAAATCAACAATATATTACAACAACCAAAGAGGGAAAAAACAAGGGATTTAGTGAAGTAGGGATGCATAGGGAGCAAAAATACGATGAAGCTGGAATGATGAATGCCAAAGCCACGCAACATCCGGCCTATTGGCCTCAGAATATAGCCTACGGGTTCTCATCCAAGGAAGTGTTCCCAGAACATCAACCAAGACACCCTCCATCCATATACAGCCGAGACATTCCTAGAGTGCTCCTCAACGGATGACAACTCCATGACCCCAGGTCAAACGGAAGTCCCTCACGGAGACCTATTCAGTGGAAGTCCATAACACCCGAAGGTAACAGTCTACTGGCCAGAGACACAGTACATCCTATGTACCCAATATACATACATATATGCATGAGCATGTTATAATACATTATCAACATACACCTCCAACCACTACCCCCAAGGGCATGGTGGAGCACAAACGAAGATTAACCCCAGTACCAAAGGATTACCTTGTTGAAGCTCCCTCTCTAGATAACTCCAATGCAAGGTACCACTGAGCCTGATCCAACCAGAAATGCCTGCACACAGGTCATTCCATATCAATTAGAACCACATGACCACATCAACTTGGTTACACAAGAATTTATGAAATTTCCATAAGTACTTACTACAATCCCTTTGGTCAAGGACCAACGGCAACCCACCAAGCTCACCGTTCCAGGTTCACGTCCGTGGGAGGAAACCTACAATGATCACACAAGGATCATCAATACCATGGTGCAACCAAGTCAAAACACAAAGCCCCACACTCCCACCCACACATACATAGGTTCAGCCAAATGGCCCAAAAAGACCTAGCCATGTTCTTAATTTTATTTCAAGCTTCCAATAGCTTCCTAAGCTTACCAAAACATCAAACCAATTCCTTAATTTCACTCCATTACCATTCAACATCATTTTTCCCAAATTTTCTACTTTAGCCAATTTCTACACTTAGACATATCCAATGGTTCCACTTCCAATTCATATGCATCAAACCAACAGACAACCTATTTAAACACAATTCACAACCACACAACACCAATCACATGATTTTTACATCATTTTTTCATTACTTTCCCTACATGGCCGAATTTTTCATGCTTGTATACCTAGGGATTTTTAATTCATTTCAACACTTCCACACATCATACAATCCTATAATTAACTCATACAATTACTCCACAACTCAATTACACAATCCCACAACATTTTCATTTCACAAAGTCATGCATACCACTCATCAACTTTTTCACCAATAAATTTTATGAGCTCAATCATCATAAAACATCATTCTAAGACACTTTTATCTAATACACATTTTCAATTTGAAGTCCCCAACCACATCAATTCATGCAAGCATGCCGTAGGTTCATGAAAATCAATCCACCAATGAAAAGTGTGGAAACTTACCCACAATTAAGGCCTAGGACTCCTCCACACAATACCCAAGCAATGGAGGATCAAACAACTCCAAGAGCATCAACTTTTCCATACAAATTCATGGCAATGGGTCAAGGTTTTCTCTCAAACAAGAAGATTTCAAGGGTTGTGGAAGGTATGGTTGTGTTTGGATGGTTGATTACTTGAAGTTTGATGACAAACTTTCTTGAATTTGATGGCTAAATCACTAAGAAAATCCAACAAGAATTCCTCCCCTAAAAGCCTCCATGGCCGCTGGTTAAAGAGAGAGGGAGGGAGATGAGTGAATAGTTCCATTTGCTTAGTTGTCGTCTTATAACTTAAGTGGGGTGGGTCCCACCGCTACCTCACGCGATTCAAATAAATTCAAATCTCTCGCTTGAACCACTAAACGTCCATTAATTCCTAGACTATTTAGAAACTCTAATTTTAAACATCAACCATTGTCCTTTAATTTCCCTTGGTCAGATGAATCCGGAGTTTTCCGGTCGTTCGGTGAAATCACAGTTTTAAGTTGTTATGCGCACTGTGGGCACGCTTCCCCAAACACCCTAATTTCAATCAATTTTCACCAGAAATCATATTTCCTAGTCCTATGTACCATTTATAACTTATTTCCAAACCTAGAGCTCAAAATTCATTTGGCACGCTTTACGGTGCAACTGTACGCGGTATTTGTACCTGGTAAAAACACTATTCATCATTTTTCCAGAAACTTGCCTAACCACTCAATTTTTCATTTTGAGTCCATTTTCAGTGTTAGTTTTCCTATTTGAAACCTTCTACTCAAATTTCCTTTCCTAGGTTACGTGTTTGGCAATTTACCATTTTACCCCTCTTATGTATTTTGACCCAGAACTCAGGATTCTCACTAATCCTACCCCTTAATCCATATTTTACATATAATTATATGATTTAGAAATACGAGGTGTTATACGCAACGATGGCGAAAAAGAATCAGCACTAAAGTTGTAAAAAAATAGACGATTGTGGAAGTAAAAGATGCTCCCGGATCGAGAGCTCTAATGCCATCTTGAAAAATAAAACATTATGTACAAAATGGTACAATATATATAAAGATTAATGGGCCTAAAGAAAATAACCCAAATCCTAATAAGTAAGAAATAATTAAAGATACTTTCAATATTAACAACAACATAATATAAAACCATTAATGTAGCCTTCACATAATAGCTTAGGTTTTTGGGTTGAATTGATTTTTTACATGGTATCAAAGCCTCCTTGACCAAATGGTCACGAGTTCAATTCTCACTGTGTTTATTCTATTAATTAAAAATTAAATTGTAACACCCCTAAATTTCTAACAAATTTAACAAAAATAAAATATTCCTATAATAGAGAAATTTTCATAAAATAATAACATTTAATTATTTATTAAGATCTTATAACTATTGCGGAAGCTAATCTAAAACAAATTTGGGGAAATGTTACCGCCGCACCTGTACAGGGACAAATGCAAAGCTAACTTTATTACGTTTAAATAATATTTAGGACTAGTTAGAATTTCTAAGTTGTTATCTTCACTGCTCACTACTAGCCCCAACCTTTGCAACCTGCAATACTGAAACTCTGCTCCACCAAAGGATCATTGCAGTCAAACAAACACAAATGTCAACAAAGCTGGTAATTCTAATCAAAACACAATTATATAATTCAAATATAATAATCAAATCAAAAATGTAATCACATAACAATTTCAATATTCTTCATATATATATATAATTAAATCAATTATTATAAATTATCTTTATTAAATTCCTTTAGTGAGAAGAAAACCATGGTAGACCTGAGAAACCCTGCCAGTCTACCTTGTGACCCGAAAAACCCTGTCAGTCACAAATAATCAAATTGGCCATCATCATAACATCTCTTCCTAGTGTGCACACCTCTTCCCAAAGTTGTTACTAGTATTTCGGGAAACCCTGTCAGACATCACTTTGGGAAGAACGAATAATATCTCTTCACATCATAAATATATCGGAGGCATAAAGCCCAAATGTTGTGGTCATCACTTTAGAAGGTATAATCCCAAAGCTATCCTCCCACTAGTTAATTTATTTCAATCACACACAATCAGGAAAAATTTAATCTTGTCACAACTACCATATTTGGAAAATTTCTATATAAATTTCTCAAGTACATAATAATTTTCCAAATTATAATTCAATATCTATTAGTCCAAATCTAATCCAAATCATAAATTCATCTTTTATCAGAATAAAGCCAAAATCTATTACCATACTTTCCAAATCATTATTCAGCATTTATCAAAATAAAACCCAAATCTAATAATCATAATTCAGCATTTATCATATTATTCTCTAAATTAATCATTTAAAAAGAGTTAGACTAAAATAATTATATAATAAATTTCTAGAAGTTAAAATAATTTAATTAAAATATCCTAATGAAATCATATTAATTTTTCAAAGTATTAAGATTACTTATACCAAATTAAATATAATCTCTGAGAACCTAGGGATTAGGATTACCTGGTCTATGTGTTTGCTAACTCCTAGAAGGTAAGGCGATTTCGGGGAGAGAAGCGGTTGGTAACCAAAGGAAGATAATAATAAAATAAAAATAAAAATAAAAATTTGAAGTAAAAAGAGAGAGTAGAGGAGAAATGTGGAGGATTGGAAGTGAATTGGTTTGGACAGGCCAGACCTTTATTTATAGTTGAAGTTCTGGGCTCAGATATGGGTTTCGTGCAATTATTTCCTTATTCTTCGTTGATGTACGTGGCTCAGATATTGATTTCTTATTCTTCGAATGTACCTGGCTCAGATATTGGCTTCATACACTATTTCATTTTTCTTGTTATGATTAATATGATTAATTTCCTTTTCTTCTCATAGTCTCGTAATAATGTACCTTTTTATTGAAAAAGGAAATATTTGCTGACTCGTCCTAATCCCATGCATTTAATATTATGATGCTCCTAGAAATAAATACTATTTTACTATTATTGGTTATCATAATATAATTCAATTATTATCACAATAATTATTCACATTACCAATCAAACGATAATCACATTAAATGCATAAATATAATAATATTTAAATGCATAGATGACCAATCAATTTATGTGGGAGGGCATTTTAGAGGGATATTATATAAAACCATTAATTTGGCTTTCACCTAATAGTTTAAGCTTTTGGGTTGAATTGGTTGTTTACAAATTTGAGTCTGACCCTTACCTTCATTGATATGGCCTTTCCCTGGAGCTCCTTTAATATGCTTAAGGATATGGATCACTGCATCCTAGCGATCCTCACATGAGATATTTAAGAAAATCCTTTTTAATTTTTTCTGTTGTATAGGCAACTCACACTTAGATATGAAACAACCATAAGTAGTAGAATGCTTGAGAGACAAGCTCGAATAATGGTAATCGGACTCTCTAAACCATTTTTTTATTTGTATTATTTTAATGTGTTTTTCATTTGATACTGTGAATTACACTTCTTGTATTTTTCTGTGCGAACTTCCTCTTATTTTGGGTCCTTTACTTCAGTCAATCTCGCCTATTAGAGCTGAAATTGAAATCAAGCTTGGAGGTTTACAGTGCAACATCATAATGAGCAGATTAAAGCCTTGGTTGCTCCTCCATTTGTCCAAGAAGAAAAAAATGGTACTTCGGGAAGAAGCTTCTGTTGTTGTAAAACCAAAATCAACTGATAGCAAGACCATCATCACGTGGAAATGTAATTTGTTAGCTCCAAAGATGACAATAATGGTTTTCAATGTGGCTGGTTCTCCAGTATATCATGTAAGTATTTGCAAATAGGTATACTCATCATTTGTTTTATAGAGTTAATGTTTCTACTTTAGCTGCAGAAAAAAAAATTTCTGTCACACTTGTGGGACCCGCTCCCTTTTATGTGAGTGTGGCAGAATTTTTTTTTTTTGCAGCAAAAGCAGAAACATTAAATCCTTGTTTTTATTTATGAAACACAACTAACTTAACACCTGTGCTATGCACATTATAGAATAAACTGATTCCGGTTATAAACAGTATTTTTATACATGTAGATTAATATAAATTTTTAATTAAATTCTAAAATTAAACAATTATGTCCTTATTCACTATCACTAATATAGTAGATATTTAAATTTGAAAAATGAAAGTAATTAACTTACTATTTCTCGAAGGGATAAGATTTGTTTTATCATTTACATATGTTAGAGATGCCTAACTAACTACACTGTTATGATTGTTAGGATTACTGTAACAACAATCACAGTCAATAAGCTTAACGGCTCACTGCAACAAAATTAGTAAGAACTCAGACAGTTACTGTATTCAGTTAGGGAGTTACTGAGAACTGATCCTATGAATTTCAGAAAACACATACAAAAAAAAAAAAGTTTCTTCTATCAAAGATTTTCACTCATCACTTGTTTCATTTCTCTCATTTTCTCCTATAAAGTTTTTCATGTTGTAGTAGATAAATTTTATCTCCTACATATACATAAAATTGTGTGGGGTTCATATTTTCTTTTTCTCTCTCTCTTCTCTTCAAATGACCTCACATGAATCCCACATACTTTTATGTGTGTGTAGGAAATAAAATTATATCCTAATCAGAGAAAACACACACCCAAAAAAAAAAGTTTCTTCTATTCAGATATTTTCTCTAATCACTTGATTCATTTTCTCTCATATTCTCATTAGAGTATCTCTTCCAATTATGGTATCAAGAGCTCTAATCGGTCCCTGCCATGGTTGGACTTGATATTGTGGAAATATGAATGTTGTATATATTGTCTGTATAACTGTACAAGAAAGGTCTCTATTTATAGAGACTAAAAGACCTAATGGGCTAAGCTCAAAGAAGATTCCAGAATCTAAGTAATAAAATAATCTAAGGTCATGGTGTATAATTATGTATTTTTTCCTTAAATTTGTATGCACATCCTTATAAACTATTAGAAGAGAAACATTTATAACAGTTATTTGACTATGAGATTTAAGGTTCAAAATATCATTTTCAATAACTAGCTCATGGTATTTTGTTGGAAGGACGCTTAATTGATCCTTTCCATCATAGGAAAGCTATGGGTGGGCTTGTTTGGTATGTTTGATTCTTTAAATTCCTTTCTTTGAAGTCATTATATCTCCAATTTTTTACTCTTTTTAAGTTTTAATTTTTTGGATGAAGTTATCCTTATTATGCCTTTTTTTATATGTTAATTTAAATGATTTAAGTATAGACATTTACTTTAAAGCATCCATGTACTGCTTTCCAAATCTAGGGTTGCTTACAATCATCACATCTGTTTGCAAACAACATTTCAAATATGGGGACTACAGTACACCTCGAACTTGGTGAATTAATTCTCCGCTTGGCTGATGAATATCAAGACTGCTTGAAAGAAAGTTTTTTTGGTTTGGAATCAAACTCTGGCTCCATTATGCACATTACAAAGGTTAGTTTGGATTGGGGTAAAAAGGACATGAAATCCTCTGAAGAAGATGGTTCTAGGTATATGCTAGGTTTATCAGTTGATGTGACTGGCATGGGAATTTATCTAACTTTCAAGCGTATAGAATCATTCATATCAACAGCAATATCCTTTCAATCTTTATTAAAAAGCTTATCTCCTCCAAAGAAAAAATTAACAGAGAGCAGGGGGCATTTATCAAAAACTTCGAAAAAGGGAATTCAAATATTGAAATGCAATGTTGAACAATGTTCAGTATATGTATTGGGGGAGACCGGATTGGAAAATACAGTTGTTCCAGATCCCAAGCGAGTTAATTATGGTTCCCAGGGTGGTAGAGTTATAATAAATGTGTCAGCAGATGGTACCCCGCGCAATGCAAACATAATGTCCACTATTTCCAATGAATATCAGAAGCTAAAGTACTCTATCTTTCTTGAAATCTTTCATTTTAAGTTGTGTATGAACAAGGAGAAGCAATCCACACAGGTAGAACTTGAAAGGGCCAGATCTATCTATCAGGAATATATGGAGGAAAATAGGCCAGTAACAAAGGTGGCATTATTTGATATGCAAAATGCTAAATTTGTACAACGCTTAGGTGGCCTTAAAGAGAATGCTGCATGTTCTCTTTTCAGTGCTACTGACATTACAGTGAGGTGGGAGCCTGATTTACATCTATCACTGATTGAACTTGTTCTCCAGCTGAAATCAGTGGTACACAATAGGAAGCTTCAGGAGCAGGGTAATGAACATATGGAAGAAGTGTCTTATATGAGAGATGCTAATTGTAAAAATGAAGCTACTGAGGAATCAGGGCATCCTAAAAAGAAGAAAGAATCTATTTTTGCTGTTGATGTGGAAATGTTAAATATATCTGCTGAGCTAGGAGATGGAGTTGATGCTATGGTCCAGGTGCAGTCAATTTTCTCTGAGAATGCTCGTATCGGAGTGCTCCTTGAAGGACTCATGCTAAGTTTTAATGGGGCTAGAATCTTCAAGAGTAGTCGGATGCAAATTTCACGAATTCCTAGTATATCTGCTAATGCATCTGATGCAAAGGGATCTGTAGCCACGACATGGGATTGGGTAATTCAAGGTCTCGATGTTCACATTTGTATACCATACAGATTGCAATTGCGTGCTATTGATGATGCTTTTGAGGATATGTTAAGAGGCTTGAAGCTCATTATTGTTGCTAAGAATAATTTAGTTTTTCCTGTGAAGAAAGAGAGTTCTAAAGTTAAAAAACCTAGTTCAGCAAAATTTGGATGCATAAAGTTTTTCATACGCAAGTTAACTGCTGATATTGAAGAGGAACCAATCCAGGGATGGCTTGATGAGCATTATCAGCTTTTGAAGAAGGAAGCTGGTGAGTTAGCTGTTCGGTTAAACTTTCTGGATGAATTTATACAGAAGGCCAAGCAAGATCCAAAATCTACTGATGACACCAATAATTCTTCTCAAGAAAGAAAGGTCAATTTTAATGTTGCTGAGGATGACGTAAATAATTCTCCAACTATTGAATCCATGCAAGAAGAAATTTATAAACAATCATTCCAATCATATTACCAAGCATGCCAGAACCTAGTGTTATCTGAAGGGTCAGGGGCTTGTAAAGATGGCTTTCAAGCTGGTTTCAAACCTAGTTCTGCAAGGTCTTCTCTTCTTACAATCTCTGCATTGGACTTAGATATAAGCTTGACAAAAATTGGTGGTGGTGATGATGGGATGATTGAGGTTCTAAGGAAGCTTGATCCTGTCTGTCTTGAATATGATATACCATTTTCACGACTTTATGGGGCAAACATTCTCTTAAGTACTGGTTCTCTTGTGGTCCAGCTTCGAAATTACCCATATCCACTTTTCTCTGGAAGTTCTGGTAAATGTGAAGGTTGTCTTGTGTTGGCTCAGCAGGTAAAAGAAATCTAATTTCTTTCTTCGTTCTATATATACCTTTTTGTTTATGCTGATTGCATATACTCGTCATCCTTAAGTAATGAAGATCCTGTTAACATATAGAATCATATCTTGAAAGGATCCAGTAAATAATTAGCTGTGTTACAAATGTCCACATGAATGTATTTGTTACCTGTTACTTTCTTCTTCTTCTTTTTTAAGAAAAAAGAACCTATTACTTAAACTGAACTCCGTAATTGTTTCTTTTACTCTATTTGGGGGATTAACTAGATGATTATCACCCTGATAATATTTCTTGGTCATTATTATTTTATTTATTTCAACTAGGCAACTAGCTTTCAACCTCAAATACTTCAAGATGTCTATGTTGGGAGATGGAGAAAGGTGAGCATGCTTCGATCAGCTAGCGGTACTACTCCACCAATGAAGACATACTCAAATTTGCCAATACATTTTCAGAAAGGCGAAGTGTCATTTGGGGTGGGTTATGAACCAGTTTTTGCTGACGTTAGTTATGCTTTCACTGTGGTGCTACGGAGGGCTAATCTAAGTGTTAGGAATCCTGGCCCACTTATTATACCACCAAAAAAAGAGCGGAGTTTGCCATGGTGGGATGACATGAGAAATTACATTCATGGAAGAATTTCCTTATTATTTTCTGAAACAAAATGGAATATTTTGGCAAGTACTAATCCTTATGAAAAGCTTGATAAACTTAAAATTCTGACTAGCTCTATGGAATTTCACCAGTCAGATGGTCATGTTCTTGTTTGTGCCAAAGATTTCAAGGTTTTATTGAGTAGTTTGGAGAGTTTGGCAAACAAACGTGGTTCCAAAATTCCAACAGGTGTCTCTGGTGCATTTTTGGAAGCCCCAGTCTTTACACTTGAAGTTACAATGGACTGGGATTGTGACTCTGGCAATCCCTTGAATCATTATTTATTTGCACTTCCAATTGAGGGGGAAACTCGTGAGAAAGTATTTGATCCCTTCAGATCCATTTCTCTTTCCCTTCGATGGAACCTATCCTTTGGATCCTTTCATCCTTCATCAGAAAAACAATGTCCATCCTCCATTGCAAGAGCTAGTATTGAAGGAGATGCTACTGTACATCATCCTCCTGACATTTTTCAGAATGTTTCACTTACTTCTCCAACAGTGAAACTTGGTGCTCATGATCTTGCATGGATTGTAAGATTCTGGAACTTGAACTACATTCCTCCACATAAACTGCGCACCTTCTCGCGTTGGCCTCGTTTTGGAGTTCCAAGACTTGTCAGATCAGGCAATCTTTCATTAGATAAAGTGATGACTGAATTTATGATCCGTATAGATTCTACACCAGTCTGTATAAAGAACATGCCTTTACATGATGATGATCCAGCCAAAGGACTGACCTTTATGATGACAAAGCTAAAGTTTGAATTATGTTTTAGTAGGGGCAAGCAAAAGTATACTTTTGAAAGCAAACGTGACCTTCTTGATCTTGTTTACCAAGGTATTGACCTTCATATGCCCAAGGCTTTTCTAATTAAAGAAGACTACAGCAGGGTTGCTAAATTAGTTAGCATGACACCAAAAAACTCACAATCTGCATCCGAGAATAAAATCCCCTCTGAAAAAGGTTACTTGACACAGAAAAATCCTGATGATGGATTTCTGTTATCCTGTGATTACTTTACTATAAGAAGACAGTCCCCGAAGGCTGATCCTGCTAGGTTAGTTGCTTGGCATGAAGCAGGAAGAAGAAATGTTGAAAAGACCGATATACGGTCTGAGTGTGAACATGGGAGCGGAACTGATGAGCATATTCAATCAGACCCAAGTGATGATGATGGATACAATGTGGTAATAGCTGACAATTGTCAGCGTGTGTTTGTCTACGGTCTCAAGCTTCTATGGACTATTGAAAACAGAGATGCTATTTGTTTCTGGGTTGGTGGTCTATCCAAAGCCTTTGAACCTGCTAAGCCTTCTCCTTCGCGACAGTATGCACAGAGAAAATTATTTGAGGACAACAAACAGCATGATGGAGCTGAAACCCATCAAAATGATGACGCTGAAACCCGTCAACATGATGGAGATGAAACCCATCAACATGATGAAGCTGAAACCCATCAACATGATGGAGATGAAACTCATCAAGATGATGGAGCTGAAACCTGTCAAGATGATGGAGCTGAAACCTGTCAAGATGAAGTTTCTAATCCCCTTGTTGCTGGAAACATCTCAGATTCTCCCTCTTCTCAGACTGCCACAGCTGCTGGATTACTTTCATCCCCACCACATTCAGTTAAGGTGGACGACTTGCCATCTGGTATGTATCATGTGCTTCAAGAAATTTCCACAACTGCTATTAATTTGGATGCAAATTAGATCAAAGACTAGTAGCACGTTCAAAAATAAATAAAGACATTAGTAAATATGTCTTCTTTTGCCACAAATAGTTTTATTGCTTGCCATATTCTGACGTATTTTTGTTAAGCACCATTTGTTCTTAAGTATTTTCACTAAGAGGTTTGTTCCCCTTCTGCCATTTCCCTTTTTTGTCCATTGCCAGATAAAAATGAAAATACAGATGATTCAAAAGAGGGGATTCGACACTTCATGGTGAATGTTATTGAACCACAGTTTAATCTTCACTCAGAGGATGCACATGTAAGTTCAAAAAATACTTGTGCATTTTAAATAGAGCTTATGGGCGGAAATGTGCATTTTAATTATTGTGCTTTCCTTTTAGGTAGAGACTTGACCCAAGATTAAAAAAATATTCCCTTTTCCCCTTTTGTTTCCCTTTTTAATTTGTTTTTTTGAAAATATCTTATTTTCAGAAACAACAAACAGCTTTGGTTTTCTATTTCACTGTTAATTTGGTTTTTGATTACTCCCTTCATAAACTCCTTTTTCATCTCTTTTGGTATTATAATCAATTTCTTGGTCAAAACACATACACACACAGAGATAGATAGGTGAAGAATAAAGTTTGAAAATTGAAGATTTAAAGGTAACATTACCAATAACACTATATTGTACTTTAATGTGCTGAAATTTGCTGAAATTTGCTCCCTTTTTTTATTTTTCCTTCAAGTTTTTATTTATATTTATAATTGATATTGAACTAGAATAAATAGACTATTTCAAGTATTTTTGGTAATAAACCAAGAAAATTGCACCATTTTATGAATGCTAGGCGAGTAGGAGATAGGTGAAAGTAGTTATCAGTTTTGTCAGTATAGTCATCAACCCTTTCATTCCTTCTTTACAGCAATGTTGTGCCTGGGTGTTACATTGTACTCCTCTGATACTTCACTATTGATCAATCTGATCAGATATGAAATTTTCAAAAGAATATGCCAACTGCCAAGATTATGTATGTACTCATGCTCTTACAGGGTAGATTTTTGCTTGCTGCAGTAAGCGGCCGCATTTTAGCCCAGTCATTTCATTCAATCCTTCATGTTGGTCATGAGATGATTGAGCAAGCACTTGGTACTACAGATGGACATATTGGTGAATACCAACCTGAAATTGCTTGGAAAAGAATGGAGTTGTCTGTTATGTTGGAGCGTGTACAGGCCCATGTTGCACCAACAGATGTTGACCTAGGAGCTGGAGTGCAGTGGCTACCGAAAATTCTCAGAGGCTCTCCAAAAGTAATGCGTACAGGTGCTCTTCTAGAGAGAGTTTTTATGCCTTGTGATATGTACTTTCAGTACACGAGGCACAAAGGAGGCACTCCAGAACTGAAGGTAAGATTTTTTTTTTATCATATTAATACTCTAGCCTGTATGTTATATATATATATAGGCAAAATGATTTCTGCAGCTGCTGTACCTACAGCAAGCAAGGATCCGCGTCCGGATCCTAGGATACGGCAACGGATCCTGAGTTTTTTTTTTTTTTAAAGCTGTGGGGCCCACTTTTCTGTGTCAGTTGTAGATAACACTATCTACGGCTGCTGCAGAAATGTTAAGCCCATATATATATATGGGAAAAATGTTTGTCCTTTTAAATGATAGTCATTTTAGTTAAAACTAGTGTTTAAAATTTAAATTAAAAAAAAAACGCTCACTTTCTTTCCCATGATTTCCGTTGTTTATCTCTTTCTCTAACTTAAAAGGACACAAAAGGACAAACACCAAACCCTATATATATATATACTTAAATTTTATTTTTATCTTTTTCGTACCTTTCATTTGGGTTCATCTACCACTGACCTCAACTTATTTGCGATAAAAGTGTTAATGATGTTGATGACTTGATGTTGTTGATTAATATTCTAGCCTGTGATAAATTTATTTAGAAATCAAAGCCAAGTTGATGTCTTTAGTATGGAATGCGGTACTGAATAGGATTCATACTAATTGTTTGTTGCAGATTTGGAGACCTAGATAGCCATCTCCCCTGATATTTGTGTTATATGCATGAAGAATTCCGAATCAGTTATAAATCTTTTTTTGCATAGTCTGGTTCCTAATTTTTTCTTGAATAGGCTGTTTGGTGTTTGTGGGGATCATTTGATTTGTCCTAACACTTAAGAGACCTTTTTGGCTGTTAATTGAAGAGGAAACAAGAGGCATGTAGTGAAATCCGTGTGTTAGATTACACAACAGAGACTGAATTATATAAATGAAAAATAATAATTACAAAGATATTAGATACCCTAGTTACTATAAATACATGATATGATTGGCCTATGCAATGAGTCTAGACATTATTTACATTACCAACGCTTCTCCTCAAGTTGGAGCGTGTAAATTCTAATGCACCAAGCCGGTTACATGTGTAACTGAGAACCTCTAAATGTCGTAGTAAAGATATTTTCTAGTTGATCGCTTGAGTGGACAAAACTAGTGGCCATGTCTCTAGATAATATTTTCTCTTTAATGAAGTAACAATCGATCTCAATATGTTTGGTCCTCTGTTAAAACACTAGATTGGAGGTAATATGCAACACATCTTGGTTATCACAAATTAGTGTCATTTGCAAAACCTCTCCATATTGGATAGATTCGACAAGCTTGGGCTGTAAAAAGTGGTCCTCCATGGAGGGCAGACCATCCAAATATAAAGGGATGCTCTTTTGGATCAATGTCCGCAGACGAACTTCTCATTTCATTTAAAGCATAGTTCTTTGTCGCAGCACTCATGCACCTTTTCCTCAGTCTGGCGTTTGATAGGAAACTGCGTTTGATGGGATCGGAAAGCAACAAAGGCTGCCAAGGGAGGCAAAAATGGTCGTGGGATCAATGAATGAAGGTGGTCGTTGAGGTTTGTGTCTCAGAAAGCCTTGAGCTTGGTTTGGGGGGCAAAGTTCTACCTCTAGGAGCTCGTCCCTTTTGTCTAATAGTTTCTGTTGAGATATATAAAATCATTAATGTAGCCTTACCCAACAGTTTAAGCTTTTGGGTTGAATTGGTTCTTTACATGGTATCAGAGCCCACTTGGCTTGAAGGGTGGACGATGCACAGGCCCACCTACCTGTGCGAAGAAAGAAATTCCACTAGAAAGAAAGAAAGTGGGTGGCCGTGAGGATCGAACCCGGTACACCGAGGCTCTGATACCAACTAGAAAAGAAGATTTGTACATAATTGAATTGTATAATATTTGTACAAGAGTTCTCTATTTAAAGAGAATAAAAAACCTAATGGGCTAAGTCCAAATACACTTATAGAGTATTCTAACTATTACAAAATAATAATAAAATAATTCTAATATTTATAATAGTTTCGTAAGGGTCTCTACCATCAGATGTGATTCTAGATGACAATAGTGATGCCTGAAATTCAAAGAATTGTTGGTTCTAGGTGGCAATGATGAATTCCTGAAATTCGGAGAGCAGATGGCACAAATCTGCAACGGCCTCCCCTTGTTCGTGATCTGGTTACTGGGCATTATAGGAGGTAATGTGGACGAGAGCACCAAAATGTTAAGAGCAGTTTTTTATTTGACAGAATAGGATAGAGACAGGACATAAAAGAAGATAGAGAGAGGCAAGCGAGTTTAGAGAATTGTTGGGAGGAAGTGAATTTCTTCTTCTTTTCTATTCCATTTAGCCATTTGGCCTTTTATATCAAGTATTTGAAATACTAAAAAGATAAAGTCAGTAAATCCATTAGTTGATACTAATCACAATTAATTGATATCTAATCATTTTATTAATACTAATTGAATTGCTAAAAAGGTAAAGCCGCCTAACTGATACTAATTAGGATGAATTGATAACAACATAATCCTTTTATTAATGAAAGCTAATAAATGCTAATTTGATTTTAAGCAATGATTTTGGTGCCTAACAGTACCTCACACTTCTCCCACTCTTCCCTCTTAATCCTTTTCTCCCACCAAGTGAGAATCACATGGCTTTGGCTTGTGAAGGGCACAATCCTCTATACCACTTCCTAGCATACACCCGGTTGATGTGTTAGTTCCTATCAACATTATATTATCCTTAATGAATGTACAGTACCCAAAAGTGGACCTTTTATCGGTAAGGGAGTTTGCCTTATTAGCGTATGAGTATCCAACAATTTGAATATGACCTTTATCTTCATAGACAAGCCTTGAAAGGAGAAAAAATGAAAAACATTATTGATTCCCAAGTAAACATATACAAATGGGGTACAATATATATAAAGAGACTAATGGACCTAGTACGCTGAAGAAGAAATAAACGAAATCTGCATGTGTATTTATCATTACAGGAAACACTAATTTGACTAAGGAAACACTAATTTGAGGAATGGGTATTTGACTAATAAAGGAAATAAATAAGTACAGATTTACAACTTTCTCCATCAAGTTGAGGAATGGGTATTTATTATTCCCAACTTGCTAGAAGTTCTTGAAATCTGTCGTTGGAAAGTCTTTTTATCAAGACATCAAGCTAATTGACAACTAGAGAGAATATATTAAGTAGTGATTAGTCTGCTATCTAGTTTCTTTTTGATTAAGTGGCGGTCGATCTCAATATGTTTTGTTCAGTCATGTTGAATACGATTGTGTATTATAAAAATGGTTGACTTGTTATCACAAAATAACTTTATTCAATATGCATGGTTAGAGCATCTGCAACTTGATCGTGAGCGGGGATGTGTCTCACTTGAAGGCTGTTCCCAATTAACTTTCTTAATAGATGCATGTATTCCCAGACATACATATATTTAATGAGTATGTTTCTCTGGTTTATATGTATTTTGTCATGGCTATGGTAGCCAATAATCTGTGACAAATCCATACTTGAACTTGCCATTGCAGGTGAAGCCCTTGAAGGAGCTCAAATTCAATTCTCATAATATAACAGCCACAATGACATCTCGCCAGTTTCAGGTCATGCTGGATGTGTTGAACAATCTTCTCTTTGCACGGCTTCCAAAGTATGGACAACCCCTCTTGCTTTGTATTCATTTTAAATCTACTTTTTATGTTTTTACCTACTTCAAACACTCATGTTTGTTTACATCATTTATTACTCGATCAAATTTAACAGTACCATGTAAGTTTGACCATTCTGTTGTAAACGACTACATAGGTAGGATCACTCGTATTTCGTCTCTGGGGCTCTGGAGCCAAATTTATCAGCTATTATATATGGATAGATCAAACTACTGATTTTTTGTTGGTTTTGTTATTTAGCATGGTCAAGTCACGTGGTCAACATCAATCTTTATATATTATCAACATCTAAACTGCTTTTTGTTGTAGATACTGACCTGATGAGGTTAGATGTTTATTGACTCTGCAGTAGTCCTCTATTTAAATCTATTGTTCATTTACAGTGTGAAATTATTTATAAGTCAGACATGTTTCTTATTCATGGGTTTGGTTTTAATTTATGTAGTCCAGGTAATTAAATTATATGATTATTGCCTTGATGCAGTCTTTTTTTTTCCATTCAAGAAACTTAGAATCCAAGATATTTTGTTCTATATGAAGAGTCCTTCAAATTAACTAAGTATATCATAAACAACCTAGGCCTCAAAAAAGTAGCTTGTCACTTTCTGTTGAAGATGACGAAGTTGTCGAAGAGGAAGCAGATGAGGTAGTTCCTGATGGTGTTGAAGAGGTGGAACTTGCAAAAATAAACCTCGAAAAGAAAGAGAGAGAACAGAAGTTGCTTCTTGATGATATAAGAAAATTGTCTGTCTGGTGTGACCCTTCTAGAGATGTACATCAAGAAAAGGAAGCAGACTTGTGGATGATAGGCTGTGGAAGTGCCATGCTGGTAAGAAATGAATCTTGTTAACAAACCTTTAAATGATGTGACTGGATGGTTTGAGTCTAATTATGCATGCTTGTTCTTTGAATTCAGGTGAATCTATCTGCCCAAGAAAAATAAGGCTAGTACTTTTTAAAATGATATTTTTATGGTTGTGTGTTGCAAATAAAACAGGAATAATTGTGTAATATTGTATATTCGTTTTCCCCTTTTTTTTCCTTTTATAAGACAGATTTGAGAGGATGGATTATAAGAAATTTGTGACAGATAATAGGGTGAGTTTATTTTCTTTATTTATTTCCCTAGAATTATCTCTACAAAAACTTTTCTTAGAAGGAAAGTAATGTATAGTAAAAAGAGGACAAGTTAGCCTTCTTAAAGCTTAAACATTGTGTACAATCAAAACCATTGATACAGAATAACTTTCTATTGGAAAGAAATCTTGGAAAATTATAATACACAACACCTCGACCTATACCAAACACCTCGACCTAGAGCCCCTTTTACGTAGCTCAATATATGAATAACAGCCTCCCAATGGGTAGTGCGGAAATGACATAAACAGACTAACCATGCTGACAAAGACTGCAAAAAGTAGACAAGTGATTGTAAGCTAGTTAAGCTTACTTGCAAGTTCAAGATCTGAAATAACATCTCCATCATCTGTTAAGAGTTTGACATTACGAATCATAGTAGTTCCTACAGGTTTAGCTTCGAGCAAATCAAGAACATACTTTCTCTATGTCAAAAAGTATTCAGTTCTTACTACTCATCACCTCAATACCCTAAGAATTACTTTCTTAGACCCAAATCCTTAATCTGTTACTGTGAAGAAAACCCTTGAGTTTTCTAATACCAACCTCATTAGCTACTTTTCTACTATTTTGCTTTGGTTCTTTGCCCTTTTTTTAGGAGTGGGAAAGGATATTGCGTCTCTCCTTGGAATTTGTGGAATCTAAAGCTGTCACAAGTATATTATCACTATCGCTTCGCGTTCAAACTTGTTTTGAGATGTGTAGACTATTTTTGAAGTTATATGCTGATTTTAGTATATGAAAAATTTGCATGTGTAATCAAAGTAGTACAACACTGGCAGGTTCAAGAACTGAAGAGAGAACTTATAAGTGCACAAAAATCTAAGAAGGAAGCATATGCATCACTAAGAATGGCTCTGCAAAAAGCTGCACAGCTGCGGCTAATGGAGAAGGAGAAGAACAAAAGTCCTTCTTATGCTATGCGCATATCTATGCATATTACCAAAGTTGTTTGGAGCATGCTTCTTGATGGTAAATCCTTTGCTGAAGCCGAGATTAATGACATGGTAAGAATTATTTTGCAAACCTTAATCCATCTCCCCTCTCTCTCTGATTTTCCTTCCAAAACTGATCGAGTCCACTGAAAAATCTGTTTATATGAACTGCTGTCTCAACGTCAAATATTCTCAGCAACAAGTTGGCTTCGTATGCATTAATAGGTTCTGAAGGTTTCCTACTTTCAAACTTAAATTCGCAGTGGTCTTTTCTAGTTTTATGTTCTTCCTTGTCCTTTTCCTATGCCTGAGCATGATGGTTCCTTTATAGTCCATAGTTTTCTACTTCCATAGTTCTCTTTTTTTTGGGAGCTCCATTTTCAAGAATATGCTAATTCAGTTTCATTCTGCCAACCACTTAGATCTACGACTTCGACCGGGATTACAAGGATGTGGGCGTTTCTCAGTTTACAACAAAATATTTTGTTTTCAGAAACTGTCTGCCTAATGCCAAGTCTGATATGATCTTGTCAGCATGGAATCCCCCACCTGAATGGGGAAAGTATGTAATTTTTCCTGGACTTTTTCTTGAACTTGTTGGTGCTTCTAGGTTGATTTTCTGGTATTTATTGTTTTGTTTGTTCAAGGTATTTTCTTAATTGTTGGAGATGGGTTACATTCCTATTATTTTAACTCTCCATATTGCAAAAGAAAAGGCATACATCAATATCACCTTTATCTCAAATTAGTTGGAGTTGGCGGTCGATGAACCCGAAAATTAAAGAAATAATAATAATAATAATAAAAAGATTGAGGGAAAGATAAATAAATATAGGGAAAAAGGGCTAAAGATGGCCATCTGAAATGAAAAGCATATAGGAATAATAAAAATGATGGACTACTAGACATGGAAAAGTATAACTAAAACTACAAAATTTACCAGTCTGTAACTGTCAAAATTGTAAGTGTAGATCGGGGGAGGGAAAGAGGAGTCTCTTGAATAATTTGAGATTTGATTATAAGACTGATATTGTTACCTTTTTTTCTATAAAAATGAATTTCTTTCTGTGTTTTCCTTATCTTCTGTGTATCTTAATATTGCACGCTTGCTTCTTCTTTTTCCAGAAAAGTGATGCTTCAAGTTGATGCGAAACAGGGAGCTCCAAAGGATGGAAGTTCTCCCTTTGAACTTTTCCAGGTAAGTATTTCCTTTAGGTTATTTTGTTCCATAAAATCGGGAAAGTTCAATACAGAACAATAGAATCCATCTCTTATTCTAATTTGGGTTTTTCTTATGTTTCATGGCAATTGCTTAAAATTGACACTGTGTGAAATACTTTAGTGGAGTTTCATTAAGTAGACCCTGTCCAAGATAATATAATCTTATGAAGTTAGTATAAAGTTCTTTTGCACTTTTGTTCTCTTATTCCAAGGATTTGTTAATTAGAGAACACATACCAGCTTGGGCGTCAGTGTGAGAAGGGATTTATATGGCATTAATATTTTAGAGTTTGAACATAAATATGTCATAACCCTTTGGCAAACACATTGGTAGACTTTAAGTAGCATTGCTATTCATACCTTTGAAATCAAGTTGGCCTGGGTAGCTGTTTTCGACAAAGGCCAACCATAAACATGCCTGAAATATACCCGTGCTGCTAATACAATGTCAAGCTCACATGTATAATAAATAAGCAATTGCAGTGGAAGAATAAAAATATAAATATAAATATGGAGATAGAAGATTTTAAATATGCATTATGTAGATTTTTCTTCAAGATGGGGAGTTGAAATATAGATGGCAATCATTGGAGCAGCAGTAAGGTTGGTCTTTTGTGACCAGAAGATCAAGGGTTCTAATTCAGGAAACAGTCTCTTTACAGAAAATATTAAGGTAAGACTGTGTACAATCGGTACTCACCCTTAAGGGGATAACATCTCGAACCTTTCAAGTTAGGCTTAGGATTTAATAGATGTATAAAATATATTTAAGTTAATCTTAGACTCTGGATTTACATTTTAAAGTTTTAAATATTTACATTGAATATATTTTGGTATAAGAGTATGATAAAGCTAGCCTTGACTTGTCCATGTTAAAGGTGCAGCGGTAACATTTTCCGAAATTGATTTTAGATTAGCTTCCGCAATATTTATGAGATCCTAATAAATAATTAAATGTAAATTTTGGCAAATTCTGCTATTATAAGAATATTTTAAAATTGTTAGAAATTTGGGGTGTTACATAGACTAATATGAATAATTGCTTTCCTAACATGCACTTACTTTACATTATAGGTAGAGATTTATCCCCTTAAGATCCATTTGACAGAGACGATGTACCGAATGATGTGGGGGTATTTCTTCCCAGAAGAAGAACGAGATTCACAACGCCGACAGGCTAGTTTAGAATTTCAAATATCTTATTAACTTCATTCCAAATCCAAAGCTAAAATTCATAGATATTTTATGTATATGTTAAAATAATGATTATTTATGCAGGAGGTTTGGAAGGTTTCAACCGCAGCTGGTGCAAGGCGTGTAAAGAAAGGTTCATCAGTCCATGAAGCTTCTGCTTCAAGCGGTCACTCAACAAAAGAATCCAAAGCCTCATCCAAATCTTCCATCTCTGCAATGCTATTTCCTGCAACCAGTCAGTCTTCCGTCCAAGTTGATTCAGCCCAAGTGAGTATTTTAATGAATTGTCCAGTACATGTGTTGAAAAGTATCTGCTAAATAAGGAAATAGATCCCATAATTTTTTGATTGTATATTGTGAATTATTTGATTTGATTTGTATTTTCCCTGTTATTAGTGAGTGTAAATCATATAATATAAATTAATGGGGCTGTGAGGAATTCTTAAGCCATTCACAAATATCCCTTTAAACATGGTTCTCAAGTAATAATATTAATAGAATCAGGGAAGGCTCATGCCAGACTGCATTGGTAAGAAAGGGATAGGGAAGAATATAGCTTATTTTTTCCTCTTTTTTTTTTTTTCCATGTTATCCCATTTATAACATTTTAAGATGCAAGATAGATTCACCGTAAGGAGTTTGGTAACTGTTTGCAGGCATCCAAAGCACAAAATGTCAAAGCAAACCCTAGTACTGGTTCAACCCCTGAGTTGAGAAGGACGTCTTCTTCTGATAGAACATGGGAAGAGACTGTGGCAGAATCTGTAGCTGATGAACTTGTATTACAAAGCTTTTCTTCCCAAAAAAATGGCCCATTCGGCTCTAATGAACAACAAGATGAAGCAACTAAGAATAAATCAAAAGATTCCAAAGGTGTCAAAGCTGGTCTTTCATCTCTTGAAGAAGAAAAGGTGGCTAAGTCACATGAAGAGAAGAGATCTAGGCCGCAAAAGATAATGGAATTTCACAACATCAAAATTAGCCAGGTTGATAGTTTTGGACCGTTTGATGAAGTTGTCACTTGTTATCTATCATCACTTATGTTGCAGTAATTCCGATTTATGGCAAAATCATGTATTTTTTCTTGCAGGTGGAGTTATGTGTTACATATGAAGGACAAAGATTTGTCATAAACGATCTGAAAATACTGATGGATCAATTTCACCGAGTTGAGTTTACTGGGACTTGGCGAAGACTCTTTTCACGAGTTAAGAAGCACATCATTTGGGGAGTCCTAAAGTCTGTGACTGGAATGCAGGTGATGAATAACTTAGAATTTCCTTTTTACCTTTCATTTTATTGTTAATGAGAATGACTATATACCCTGGTGTTTTCCTTTGTAGAAATATACGCTATTCATACATGCCACTGCAAATTTATGGAGATATTCTAAAACAAACTTGAGTGGAACTGTTGCATTTGTGATCCCCTTTAAATGGCATTTGCTAATCAAGAAAATCATACCTTGCTAATACGATAGATTTATATAGTGACTATCATTAACTGCTACTACTCAATTCTTTTAAATGTCTTTTGTCATGGATCATGTAGGGTAAGAAATTTAAAGACAAAGGTCAGAGTCAGCCTACTGGAGCTGGTGTTACAGAAATAGACCTTAATTTTAGTGACAATGAAGGCCAGGTGGGAATATCTGATAAGCATCCACCATCTTGGCCCAAGCGACCAAGTGATGGAGCGGGTGATGGATTTGTAACATCCGTTAGAGGAATATTTAGTACTCAACGCCGCAAGGCAAAGGCGTTTGTGCTCAAGACAATGAGAGGTGATGCAGAGAATGAATTTCAAGGAGATTGGAGTGAAAATGATGTGGAGATCTCTCCTTTTGCTAGGCAGCTCACGATCATAAAAGCTAAAAAGCTTATTAAGCGGCACACTAAGAAGTTCCACTCTAAAGGACAAAAAGGTTTGTTCTAGAGTCATTTCCATGTTATTGCTTTTTGACTATTTATTATTCATTACAGTTGTGGACAATTTTTTTCATGGTGCAGGATTAACTTATACCGTTGTAAGGGGAAAAACAAAAAAAAATCTAACATCCAATCTCAACAGTTAATTCCACTTGCATCTAACAGCTCATATAAGTACATATGTAATAAATTAAGGGCATTGGATGTAAATCAGATCAATGACTAAGTTTGAATGTAACACTTACAGTGGAGTAAAATAATCCTCCCTTTTTTAATAATTTGGATAAAAGATAAAATAATAAAATATTATTAGCAAGAAAGGAGATAATGCACTTCTTGGTCAAAAGTATATTATTAGGAGGAAAAGAAATCCGCTTCAAAGAAATACAATCCAAAAAAAATGCTAGCCAAAATGGATCAAGAACTCATCAAAGTTTCTATTCTCTTTTCTGACCGGGAATAGAAATCCCTTGAAACAACCATGAGCAAAGTACCAAAGAGTCTCCATAAACATTATCCTATCCCCTAACAAACATAAAGGCAAAAAGCACATTCGTTTCCACCAAAAAAAAAAAGCACATTGGAAATAAGTGCATTTCACGCTGACACCAAAGAACTTAAAAAACAGCCACTTCCATAAACTCATACCCACCTTATTCACGCCAAAACCTTTAATTGTATAATGAGAAACTGCTCCAAGGTGATACGATACACCCAACGTTCATCAAGAATACGAAATAGATTACTCCATAGAAATGTAGCTTTTTACAATACAGAAATAATTGGGCTATTGTTGCTGAGCTGAACCTAAGAAAGAGCTGTTTGAGGTCTACAACTCTGCAATATTTCATTTGGATCAACCCAATTAAGTACTGCTAGATAAACAACAGAAAACTTTGGAGGGAATTTTGCACTTCCAAATGACTTTGTCAAGGAGGATCTACTGAGAGAGAGAGAGGATCATGGAGAAACACTGATTAGTGTAGATGAGTCAGTGAAATATACTGTCCTCTGATATCCTATTTATATTACTATGTAAATAGTAATATGGCAGTACATGGTAAAGTACAATAGTACAATAATTAATGTACATAAAAAGATCTCTACGGAACCTTCGACGATTAGGATTGTGAGTAGAAAATGACTTACGAGATAACATACCAGAAAAATCAGAGACCGGATTCTTATATCTAAATTTGTTAGAGAATTTCACACGCGTATTAGTTCTGAGCTTCTGTTTCTAACAAATAGAAATAGTTGAGTCTGTTCATTTGTATCAGAGTATGTTGTAACAGACTTACAACTACCGTAGGATTCAGTTAAGAAAGTTGTCTCCCAACTGTTCTTTACTGACTGTATAAATATGAGAAATCTGCCTTGAGTTCATTTGGTAAATAGAAGTTACACAAATTACAGAGAACACTCTTCCTTCCTCTCTACAATTTATCAGTTTCCTTCCTTTTCTTTCATTTTTCTTCACTTTCTCACGCAAATACAAAAACTAATAAAATTGGAGAGATGAACAGAATCAAGAAATGTATAATGGACTCTTAATTCGCTAGTTTATCTATTGCTTTATTGGATTCCAAGTGAATAACTCAAGTTTTAGTAACCTCAATTATTTTAGAAATCATATTTAGTATGAGTAGAATGACACTATTTTGTTCCACCTCTGGATTGTCATTTAAACTCTTAGCCATATGTTATATCCACTTACTTTGGTTGTCTATCCTACTTTTTTTTCTGGGGTTATGTATTTCCTTGGGTAGTTTGAAATTGAATACCCTAATATTAGGATTATATTGGCTTCTTGAATCTAACCTTTAAAGCAATTGCAAATTATCTTTCCCAGCTGGCCGTATGTCAGCTTTGAAAATTAAATATTCAAAGCTGTGCTGTTTATGGTGAAATCTGTCTTTGCTTTAGAAAATAAATCCCCAGTCAATGGACATATTTTGATATTTTGCTTTCTGATCTTGATAATTCATCTCTGCTAGTCTATTCCTTTCTTGTTGACTTGATAACGTGAGGACTGAATTGTCAATATTTCACAGGTTCATCCTCACAACAAACAGAAGCACTACCATCATCTCCCAGAGAGACAACTCCATTTGACAGTGATTCTTCAAGTGGATCCTCACCCTATGAAGCTTTCCATGAATAGATATGTTTATCTAAAGGAATCCTGGCTTTTCAGCTGAGCATGAAGCACTTTTCATCTGGTTCTTAAATGACTAAAAGGATACAAGACCTTGACAGCTATCTTTCTCAATCAGCAGGTACCTCAAACGAACACTTGACAGAGAGACAGCTTGAGAAGAGGGACACCAAAAATGGAAAGAGAACTTGGGACTCACATTCGGAAAATGCATAATTGCTTTTGATAGATTCATAGTATATTTTCCCTGGCAACCTTGGTCATCGTTGATAAAGAGTCTTGCATTCATCTCGTCTAACATTTTCTACTACTTGTCCGCAACATTTGCCGATCTAACGTGTTCTATTTCTTGTCAGCCTCACTTACGGTTGATCAAGAACCTTGCGACCATCTCTATCAAACATTTCCAGGTTCTAAATTCCTTCAGCGTCTGGTAATTTAGGCCTCCTTAAATTTTCAGAAAATAGAAGATTATAAGATTGACATGATTGTGTACAGACATTTGATTATAGTTTCAAAATTAGAATAAATGCAATATTCTCTCTCTCGTGTAGATTTTATCATACAAATACTTCAATGTTTTGCCTGGATTAGGAAACAAAATAGTAGAATAAAAAGTAACCAATAATGGTGTCCAATAGTAAAAGCACTTCTGAAGGCACCAAAAAACTACATACAAATGCCGAATAGTTAGTCACACAATTTTTCAGAAATAAGTAGCTCTGTGAAGGACTAGAATTTAATTTTAAAGTAGGGAGGCGTTTACCGTGTTTCGTTTTTCTTTTGGACAAAAACCAAATGTGAACGCCATATTTTGTAGGGAAATATATTTCTGGAGTTAATGCAGATAAGTTATCTGCATTTATTCCCAAAACGACGTCGTTTTGGTATTAGAATCTTAAAAAATTATAAATATAAAGACTATTATAACTCTGAAATAAATTAAAATTACAAAAACACCATGATTTCTGCCCCAAAACGACGTTGTATTGGCTTACTGCAGATAATTTATCTGCAGTAACTGCAAAAAAGCGAACCCTATTTTGTATGCACAAATTCCATGATATGTAGGAGAATGCAATCATGTAATGTAAGTCAATAATTATATAATCATGTCGAGAGCGCTTTCTCTTAGCATTGTTCTCTTCATCTTCGGCCTGTTTATGATGTTTGGAAAAATATATTGTCTTCATTTAGGGCAGAGCTAATATCACTCTAGCAATCTATTTACATTCTCTACTAACTAGCAATTTTAAGGGATTAATGTTTGTCATTTTAAAAGACACAGAATTATGTCATTTTAATCAAAACTATTGTATTTTATATTAAGAGAAACAGAAATCAAGATGGGAAAGTGAGAGATTTTTTTTAATTTAAATATTAAATAAATAATAATAATTTTAAATAAAATGACTTTCTTTTAAAATGATAAATATTTTTCCTTAATTTTAATTACTTAAAATTGCCCTCCTTTAAAAAATGCTATTCAATTAATTTAATTATAAAAAATAGTGCACACAACGAAGATGAAAGCACTCAAATCCCAATTCTCTACTCTTTACCAAACCTCACATTCTCTGAAGTAGTTAGTTTGCATTTTGTTTGAAGTTGTTGGTTGGTTTGGATGTTGTTTTTCCAGTTTCCTTAAGATCCTTGACATATTTATGGGAGATGAAAGTTTTATGTATCGAATGAACAACTTCAATTCCCAAAGATGCTTTAGCCTCCCTTGTGATTTGATCTCAAATTCCTTAGCTAAACATTGGCTCAAACTTGTTTCTCCTTAACATCATTTCTAATCACAATTATGTCATCAACATTGGTGTTGTAATTCCCTATTAAGAAGAATGTTTAACAAACTATATGCTTGAAAATTAAGCCAGCAGTGACTATTTGAGACTATACAAGGCCGCCTTCAATTTACACATCATGGTAGCATGCAATGTCTTTTGATAACGAGGTCGAATCTACGTATAAATTCCTTCCTCTATATAAGAAGGTATTCTTGACATCAAATTAATACAAGTGTCAACCATACTTAGATAATAAAGCTAACAAAATTCTGACTAAAATCATCTTTGTAACTGGTGCAAATATCTCTTGGTAATCAATCTCATAAGATTGGACATATCCTTTGATCACTAATTTTGTTCTATATCTTTAAATTAATCCATTTGCTCTATATTTCATTGTGTAGATCGTTTTGCAGTCTACTCTATTTCATGAAATGAGCTAAGATAACCACCTTCTCGAGTGGCAATGCAACTCAAGGATCATATGAGAAGAAAGAAATTTTTGGTTCCTAAAATGTTAAAAATCAGGAATTAAAAATTGCTATATTTAGAAGGACTAAATACATACATATTAAATCAGCCTGACCACCTGGTAACATCAGGATTTGGTATGTAGCTGCAGACTACTGCAGTAAGAACCAACCAAGCAGATTTAATTCCTTTCCTCCCCATGTGTATTAGAGAAAGAATATATGCACAAAACTATGATATATATACGTAGATTTTAAATCATTCCTTACAAAACTACAGTAGAAGCAAGATGTCAAATAACTACAAAGGAGTACAAGTTCAAGAAAAATTCATTACTCCATGTAATATTAAGGTATACTTCAATAAGGGATGTCATCCTTGTATCTTCCACCTCTATTTTAGCAGTCTTCATCAACAATCATGACAATCTCGTGCAGAAGACTCAAACGGCATTGGTGAACTTAAAAAATATACACAATCTCTTTAATTTGATAAAAATAAAGAACAATATAACACACACAAAAAAAAAAAATATATATATATATATATATATATATATATATATATATATATATTGCTTGATTAAAATAGCATAAATATTGGGCAAAAAGCAACTGTAAAAACAACACAAATCTCTTAAAAAAAGTTCTCCACTAAACCAGGTTAAAAAATCTTATCCACAATACAGAAGAGATAAAAACCAATAACCTTCATTCCTTCGTTATCCAATTTTTATTATGTGCAAAACAATACAAACACAAATTCTACAATAAATTTTACATTACTATATCCACAGATATCACAAAATACCTAGTCCTGTGCATTGATCATCAAACAGCTAACAAAAACAATACTGTGATTCAATGGCTTGTATTGTACTTTTCTATTTGTACGGTCTCTCAACATGCATCAAACACAACCATAAATTGTATAGCCACAATTACTTGCATGATAAAGGTTTAAGGATTTCATCTTGTAAATCTAATTTATTGACTTGCAAGAATCCATTTTATTTTATTTTTTTGTGTTACCAAGAGTATTAGGTCAGACTGAAGCCCCGGTACAAGATCACCGAGTTATCATTTAAATTCCAGGCTATACATTCAGAGATCAACAGTTAATGCCACTGATCCAAGCAATAGAAATATACCTCTTATATTGATGAGAGCATTGCTATAACTGTACATCCTATCGGTCAATATGAAAGGAATTACTACAAACCTACTAATGCCAAGTTCAACGACCCTAGCATTTTCTGTAACAGGAAAACTCAACGATCAGCTACCAAAGCTGAGTTATCATTCTCAGAGAAAGCAGCAAGATCGTTAGGCGTAGGGATAAGAGTCCGACAGTCCGAGTTATTGCCTTCACCAACCTGGTCATCAGATGCAAAAAAAGGAGGGTAACAAAATGCACATATTACCACACTGATTAATAAATATTGAATGAAAGCAAACCTGCTCAGATGGTGCAAGAGAGTGTTCCTGATTTTTCTTAGAAAGGTCTCTCAAAGCACCCTGCAAAATACCATTGTTAAAAGGTGGGACAACTGACAACTCAGAATTCAGCATAAAAGAAATTGCAGATTCACAGTAGAGCAAATTTGAATTAATGCTCACAAAGAATATAATTGCCCGTCCCTCTAGGCAAAATATAATATGCCTTGCAGATGAGAAGAAAAGAAAATTAAATTACTTTTAGAAGAAAATGGTTCACAACAAAGTAGTTTAAAAGTAATATCAACAAGACTTCCCAAGATTTTGGTATTTTCTCAGAAAAGACCACACATAATACCCCGATAGATTTTCTCACTTTTGTGTGAAATTCCTGATATTATGTTTCCCCACCGTCATGTCCACAATGCAGCTGGAAGTGGAAATAGAATCAAGAACCAAAAGGCACACCTTCATGGTCATATGCATTGCATGTCATATTCAGTACGAGTATTGGATCATGTAGCCCCACAGGATATATCAAAACATCCGTTATAGCCAAACAGACATATCTTAAATATTTCTAAACCAGAGAAAACTTCAAAATCTAAACATTCTGTTATGGGCATTTATTTAAAAAGAAAAACAGAGGGAAAATAAAAAAACTGAATTCTGAAAATACTGATTGATTATACAAAAAAGATTGATATTATAGGTTTTTACAAACCAACTCACAGCTAAAAATTCATATAACAGTATGCATTTACAAATTCCAATACAATGAAGGAACAGGGGATGTGCATGCATAAGAATGTATATATTAGTTATATGAGTGTACACATTCAATATACACACAAATTTTTCCAAAAAAAGCTATCTCAAGAAGATACCAACCCTATTTGACCAAAAAAGCCCACAAGCATTGCAAAGTGACCGTGGACCAGATGGTCCTCGCCGCATCATTGGGGTGGATTTTGAACTTACGCCACAATGTGTGCATCTAAACAAAAGAGATGGTAAAACACCAAGTTTGAGACATCCCAGTCAAGGGAAAAAAGCTTCATTATGCATGTAACATCTTAACACAAGGTACAAGTCTCAAATAATAATGTGAAATATAAGACTGTATCAAATAAGCCTTAAGCTAGAATGGATAACAACTCAAATGGCACCAACCACCAAATCTCATAACATCTTTTGGCTATAAGATTATACAGGTAACACGAAACTCACGAGGTTTGTGATTGACTATCATCCTGCCCCGACTCCTGATCTGTACCCCAACTATTAGCTCCATCTTGTTTCTTAGATGAAGTAAATTGACCCTTGTTACGGTGCATCCTACATTTAAACATCAGATAAGTAAGAAATAGGCACTGACACAAATAAAAATTTACTGCTACGATAATGAGCAACTAGAAAAATGTGGAACATAGATAACATGGAGCAGTTACTGAGAAGACAAATGATTCCTTTTTAAGTACATCTAAAAAAGCAATATCAAGTCCAAGGAAAGTTCTTGCTGAGAAAGACTGTTAATATCTGTTGACTACAAGTTGTTTGTTAATACAATGCATACAACTGTACATACCAATGTACACATTACATATACCGAGCAAATCACAAGGCACTGTTGTTCATCCTTTCATTCTAGCAGATATTAAATATTGATGTATCATGCATCCAACATACTGATGGAGGATGTTGTTACAGTAAGCATTAAACTCAAAATTTATTAGTAAATTAAAATTTTATAGTAAATTAAAATTTATTAGTAAGCATACAACTGTACATACCAATGTACACATTACATGTACCAAGCAAATCACAAGGCACTGTTGTTCATCCTTTCATTCTAGCAGATATAAAATATTGATGTATCATGCATCCAACATACTGATGGAGGATGCTGTTACAGTAAGCATTAAACTCAAAATTTATTAGTAAATTAAAATTTTATTAGTAAGGGGGAACATGAAACCGCTCTCATTAGTTTCTTGTTAACAGTATTATTGTTGTGAGTCAATATTTAACTCACAACAAAGGAACATAAGAAAAAAAAATATTTGCCATCATCTGATTTACAAATCTCTGCATGGAAATCAATCATTTATAAGAGATATGAAGGATTGCTTTCAAAAACTTTTTCACTAAATATAAAATCAACAGCGTGCTTCCCATTTTCATTTTCAGTAAAAACAAAACACAGGTTTGAAACCGTGTTTGGTTGGGTTTTAATGAAAATGCATAGGAAACATTTCTCAAAAAGGGACTAAATCAGACAACAAACAGTCATTTTCATCGTTTTCAGAAACATGAAGTTGAAAACACTGGCAACATTGTAATTATAAAAACAACTATAAGAACCAACAGAGTTGTTATGGAATTAGTCAGTAATCATAAGGGTACTATACCCAATGTGAATTGTCAAACAAATGTTTGTTAGTAGTTTCACCATAAATGATTGAAAATTCACTAAATAAAATCAACAAGCAATAAATGTTTGACAATTAACCTTGGGCAATGGTACCCTTGATTAAAAAACAGGGGTAACAAAGTAAACCCCAATTCCCCAGCAACCAAATGTGTTTTCTAAAATTTGAAAATCTAAACTCATTTCAAGGAAATGAAATAGATAATGAAAACAAAATATGTTCCTATTTAAAAGAGGTACGATGGACTTGATCTTGGAATCTATGTACTGAATTAAAAATCTAGGATGTCGAAAGGTGTGAATAGTAAGAATACTAAACATGCTCAAATTAATATATAAAATAACGGAAAATAGTTTGTCCTTTTAAAGGACCTAAATTAATATCTACCCGGAGTACATAATTATAAGGGGTGAAAGGACATAACTTAGATCCTTTAAAAGAACAAAATGTTTTCCCATAAAATAAATGGCATAAAGTGAAAAGTGAACAAAATAATTCACGTCATTACATTTACAAAGTTTAAATGATATTATTTGAAATTAGAAATTAGAAATCTATCAGACATCAATTTTCACTAATATGTAAACCCAAAGGGGGCAGCCGGGTGCTATAAAGTTGATGTTAGGCGCACCAGGGAAGGGTCAAACCCATTGTGTGGGTCTATAATAGGTAGTATTACCTTGTATTTGCAAGAGGCTGATTACATGAATTGAATCTGTGATCTCCGGGTCACATGGCGACAACGTAAACCGTTGTTCCAAGGTTCCCTTCATTAATATGTAAACATACCATAAAGAAGTTAGACATTAAGTTCAGATCCAGTTCTTCCACAGTTCAAAAGGCCAGGCTTCTCTATAGTGTATGTTTGAATTGCTCCACATCATCCAAGTTAAAATTGCCCCTCAACATATGTTGTCATAGAGTCAATTTGGTAACAAGACTGAAACTAAACTCTTCCAGACCCACTAACTATACAGTCTACACTTTATGCCACTTCATAATGAGAGAAGAGTTTAAAGCTAATATTTATGTAAAAGAACTGCCAATACGGCTGAGCTTGGGCCATAATTTTACTAGTTTCCAAAGAGTTAAGCTCAAATCCCGACACAATTCTATTTAAAATAAGACAAAATTCAATTTAAAATAAAGTCTGAAGCTGAACACAATTCTATGCCAAATGAAACCTGAAGCCCAACACAATTCTATGTAAAATGAAGCTCAAAGCAAACATAGTTCTAAGTAAAACGAAGCCCAGAGGCCAGCCTGCTACCAGATCTTTTCTTTTATGTATATAAACATATATATAATCTCAATCATATTCTATCTACCACTTATCTATAAATTGGTTTAAAGAAGCAAACTCATTCCCAATCATCGTTCACATGATGGATCTGTCATATAAGCAGCACCAACTTTTAACCTCAGACTGTAAACAACTTTGTTTTGGGTTCAAAATATTCAATCTAAATACTCATAAGTTTATATTACAAACCCTGGTACGTTAATTATCAGACCTGAGTGCAACTTCTTGACGTACACCATATCTAACTTTCTTATCAAAGCATCGCTCTTTCCTCTTCTGCCGGAACCTAATTAATGAGGCAGCTCGCTGTGGTTGACTACATCTTGCAGGATATTCCATTGAACCCTGCAGCAGGACCAAAAGAATTAGAGAATGCCACTCAGCAAGGTACAGTTGAACATCAATGCTACTCACACACTTGCATTCACATCACACGTGCATCACTTTACCTTTCACTAGGTAGTTTCATGATAACGATCGCCTGATATCAATATATTTTCCACCAAAAGTTAACTTATTTACAAAAAAAATTAACCTATGCTAGCAAACTGCAGGTTGGTAGAAGTATTTCCTGCCTAGGACTGCTCACAATGTAGCTTTAAGATAGTTATAATCCGGTATCAGTATTTACTACCTAACTTCAATGTATATACAAATGACAAATTATCATTATGCTAATGTCTGGTGATAAGTAGCTTGGATCAGTTGATAATTATCTAAGCTGTATAGTAAATTGTAAAGTGATGTTAATACAAGTGCTTGTGAGTAGCATTACTACTATCAGAAAATACCCTCTGATTTTGTTGAGGCACAGTATCCACACTTGCCGAACCCGCTGAAGATAGTTCACATCCACCCAACAGTAACAATACCGCTTGTACCTATCATCATGTAAATGCAGAATTTTATTATCAAAAGTTCCTCCTTCTTAAATTTTCAAAAATAAAAATAAAAATAAAAATAAAACGCTCTGTTCGTCCATTTAGGTGAATGAACAAAAACTTGAAGGCAATAGGCGAAACTATAATCAATTTTCTTCGTTTGCATGCTGCTTGGGCCCATTCGAGCAACCAAAAGGAATTTTACAATCCTTTTGGTTCAACGTTGAATTACTAAAAAAATAAAATCGAAACGGCAAAAAATAATAATAAAAAAAGGGGGAAAATCTTACTTTTACTTCGGGTGACTAAGGAAAACCGTACCTTATCAGGTGTAACAGAAGGGAAATCATAAACTTGACCACGAAACGACAGCGTAAGCTGGCTAGACTCGTCGCATCGTGGAAAAGACAATTCAAGGCCTCCATCACCACCGTGGCCAGAAACATATACAGCATCGGAATTAACATCCTCAATGACGCCGCTACCACCAACTCCACCGCTATCTTCTTCAAGAGCATGCGTTTCGTACTGAATGTGGTGGTGGCCGTCGATGGCGACCTCGCCGGAGCCGTCGTCGTTTTCTCCGTCTCCGATCTGTCCGGACATGGTCATGGGGTTAGCGTGTCCGTACATTGCTGGCTCCATGATAAAATCGGGGGCTTCCGATGCATTACAGGGATAATTCGAGGGATGTTCGAAAGACAAACCCTAGTAGGAGTTTGAATTTGGGAGTGTGTCTGAGACTGAGTGTGAGGGCGATTTTAAAGAAAGACACGAAGAGCGAAGGGAGTGAACAAGGTTAAGGCCAGCTCAGGAGAATGACAACACAGCAATTACGAAAAGAGAGGGAAAATAACCCTAATGATTGTGATATTTACGAGGCTTGCCCCTATCAGGCCCAATAGGAACGGCACATTCATTGTGATGCGATGGGATGAGATGGGTAATAACGATTTTAAAATTGGTCATATCATAAAAATATAATTATAAATATGATCATCTTTGACCTAAAAACAATTTTCAACTAAAATTTAGGAATTTTTTTTTATTTTTGTGAAGTGTTGACTCTGGGTCTTATTGTGAAGTGTTGACTCTGGTCGGTCTTAAGTTCGTTGCCCAAGGTGTCTTGAAGGTCAAGAAGGATTCAAAATAAAATGACACTCCAAGACACAGGTCAAGTCAAGAAGGATTCAAAATAAATTTCTAGCAATAACAAAAAAAGGGATGTTTAGATTACTCAAAAAAAAAAAGGATTTTTTTTTTCCTTTTCATAAGTAGTGAAAATAATTTCATATTCATCACGTGACGATGAAGGTATGACATATTCATCTCGATGGATTCTAAATCTTTGATATCATGTAATGGACTAAGTTATAAGTGTACGATAGTTGCTCTCAGTCATTTATTTAGTTACGATAATAGAGTATGACAAGTTAGAAAAAGACATATTTAGATCACATTACATATAATTTTCATGTTATACATACATACTTGATCTCATTGGCTCTATTGATATATGTGATGACTGATAGATCTAATTACGATACATATGTAGCTTATGTAGCGAACATTGCTTTCAACCCATATTAATATCATTAATATGTATTGTAAATTATCTAAAGAAACAGCCCTTTTGAAGTGAAATTATATGGATTAAGTTATAGGGATTGATGGCATCTTATTTGACATGGACATTATAATGTATACATTCCAAAAGTCTTATTTCTAATTTTATGATGGGAGAAATCAGAAATAATAAAAGTTTAGAAGTGAATATTATTTATGAAAAGGTATTGACTCGAAAGTCAGGGTATAAACTTATTCTATATGGGTGTGTTTTTCAAGTTATTTGCACAGATTTCTTCTTTGATATCTATCTATATTTGTGATTACTGTCACCCATAATAGAATTGTCCTAATTTCCCTTCTATCTTCCATACTTTTTCGGCTCTTATTTGGGGCTTCACAACAGTTATATGGCCAGTCTTAAATCTTAACGAGGTTTGAATTGGGTTTATCACTTTGTTGGTTATCCTCATCACAGGGGATGATAAATACTAATAAGCTCTGAAACACGGATACTTGATTTTGGGGGGAAAATCAACTTTTTGAAACACGTTGACTAGTGAGACAAATAAATTTAACCGAATTCGACACGCAGTTAACAATGTGAACACGTTTTGACATTTTTTTTTTTTTGTAAAAACGAAATAAAATTACAATAAAAAAATTAAAAATAGTTAATAAAAATTAAAAAGTCTGAACCCTATCCTCTCTCTCGTTCGTTCATCTTCGTTCACAGTGGAGGGCTGGAGGCTGCTGGTCCTTTTCATCTTCGTCGTCGGTCGTCGTCTACATCTCCGGTCATAATCAGAATCCGGTAAGTCTCTTTCGATTCTCAAATCTCCGGTCATATATGGATTTTGGTGAGAAAGAGGAATAAAGCTGATATGATGATTATTGGTCTGGAAATGTAAACAATGCATATAAGAATGTTGCTACTGGTCGGACCTTTTATTTGCTTCATAAATCTGCTCCCTTGTTTCTGTGGCTCAGTTAATGTTAATGTCTTATGCAATGATTATAGTTTTTTTTTATTATATTCTTAATGGTATCCCAAGGTTCTTTACATGGTATCAGAGCCTCACCGTCCTCCACTTTAAAAAATGGAATTAAAATAAAATAAAAAAAAGCACAAAAAGGTAAACAAAAAATGGGCCTGTGCAATTTTCACGCTTCTAGCCTAAAGGGCTCTTGCGTGAGAGGGCGTGTTGAGATATATAGTTCCACGTTAATTGGATGAGCAACTAATATGGCCTTTATAAGGCCTTGGGGACTCTCACCCCTTGAGCTAGCTTTTGGAGTGGTGTATCCCAAGGTTCTTTACAGAGATATTGAATTTGAATAATTGAGAGGCAAATCACGATATAGTGTTGATATTTACTTTCCATTACTCAGAATGAGTGGCAGATATCCAAATTATTTAGATGCAATGACCTAAGTCTTACCTGTTAACAGCAGCTATTTTGAATCAGTATTTGATAGAATGCAAATTATGCAATCAAAACATACTTTTGTTATGTGTTTTTTTGTTTATTTTTTTGGAGCTTGCCTTTAGTTTGTGCATTATGTTTAAGATTGATCTTGCTTTTGCCAGATTTGTCGTATATATTTTGCTCTTGACCTTGGCCTTTTCTCCCTTGCCTTTTTAAAATATTATTATGGTCTCATAAGATTCATTCTCTTGTCTTCTGTCCCAAATCTGTGAACAAATCATTTGTTCTTGTTTTGTTTTCTGCAATACCTCGTCATGTTCTCTAGCAGATTTATTTTATTTCCTTTATTTGGATCCTGAGTTTTTCTGTCTTACCTTCTTGGATATAGCAAACTGTTATCATTTTCAGTGGCTTAGTCTTATTTATTTGACAGATAGAACAGAGTTAAGTTTTCTTGATAGGTGCTTCTAAGGGGCTTTAAATAGAGGATGAATCTAATTAAATAATCCCTATATGGCTTACCATCCGATTCTTATATGCATTGTCTACATCTCCCCTGGAAGTTGTTATTGAAGACAGTGGGTGATATTAAATCACTAGAGGTTTGAACCCATGTAAAGAACAGAAGGGGTAGATGATCAGAATTATCACTGTGCAATTATAAATAAAATAAGAACAGACTTACTTGTCAGATATATGAGACAGAATGATAATGATATGCAGTATCAGAGGAATAAAAATCCGAGCCCACAGAACGTGTCTCCTTAAGACAATTTGCCCCCTCACTGATGCCCAAGGTTGATGGACACTTGTCTCCCAGGATAGAACGGATTTCGTCTGAAGAATGGCGGCACTACCAATCAACAGCCCAAACGAACACAACAATATGCCAGAGGAAATCACACCGGAGTATGAAAAGGAATATGCAAAACCGGAAGGAGAAAAATTCCGGCAGAGTTTCAGTGCAGAAAATTGGATCCATTTTATGAAGGTGTCAGTGTCTATTTATAGACACTGACCGGTCACGTTTCAAAAGGCACCTATTCGACGACGAAACAACACATCCGTTGGACACGAAAAGACACATTCGTTCAACACGAAAAGGCACCCATTCAAGGATGAAACAACATGTCCGTTAGGATGAAACAACACATCCATTAGGATGAAACAACACATCTGTTCGGATGAAACAACACATCCGTTCGGATGAAACAACACATCCGTTCAGATGAAACAACACATCCGTTCGGATGAAACAACACATCCTTTAGGATGAAAAGATACATCTGTTTGTCGACGAAAAGACACACCCTTTCATTACCAAACTTCTTATTCATAACCAATAGAGTGTCTACACAATATATATATATATATATATATATATATATATATATATATATAAATTCCAACAATCCCCCACATGGATAAGAAGTCAAATCATCGTGACAAAAATGCATAAGAATATAAATGCAAAGTGTAATTTCCTCAACGAGAAACAACTGCATCGAGATAGGTGGAGTTACCTTTGAACCTTCTCTAGTGGAAACCTATCGGATATACTCGGTCAATCGGTGGTCTAGGTCGACTTGAACCGTCAACCTTTAGTGTATACCTAGACAATAGGAGTCACACAATTGCTTCTCTAGCATTGTTGGTCCTTTGTTGTGCCCGTTTTGGCCGTGGGACACCTGCCTGGTTCTGCGAGTGTTTTAGAGAATCGGCCTTTGAAAAATTCTCATAGAAGCGGCCCTCACTTCACACTCACATAGGTGATTTCTTGTGATGTAACTCACTATACATCATTTGAACACAACAGATTAAGAAATCATTAAAAGCCTAAGTGCTTACCCTCATAAATACACTGTCTTGTCTTAGGAATGAGTATGAGTTTAAAAACTCCACAGTGTTTAAACAGTCGACCATCACTTAGTTGTCTCTTTGAACCTAGTTCATGGGATCTCCACTCTTCTAGGTAGAGTTACCGCAATGCTCAACAATTGATAGGCCTTAAACCCATTCCTTTCGACAAATTTTCAACCAACTCTCTAGGAATCCCTTTGGTTAACGGATCCGCTATGTTTTCCTTAGACTTAACATAGTCAATTGAAATGATTCCATTCGAGAGTAGTTGTCTTACGGTATCATGTCTACGACGTATGTGTCTAGACTTACCGTTATACATGACGTTCTTGGCCCTTCCAATAGCTGCTTGGCTATCACAATGTATGCATACAGATGGTACCAATCTTGGCCAATTAGGAACATCCTCAATAAAATTACGAAGCCATTCGGCTTCTTCACCGGCCTTATCTAAAGCAATAAATTCTGCTTCCATGGTTGACCTTGCAATGCAGGTTTGCTTGGACGATTTCCAAGACACAACACCTCCACCAAGGGTGAACACAAATCCACTTGTGGATCTAGTGTCGTTAGAGCCGGTGATCCAATTTGCATCACAATACCTTTCTATAACATAGGGGTATTTCTCGTAATGCAAAGCAAAATTTTGAGTATACTTCAGGTATCCCAAAACTCTTACCATAGCTTTCCAATGATTTTCATTTGGATTACTAGTAAAGCGACTTAACAGACTTACTGCGTAAGCAATATCAGGTCTGGTGCATTTCATAACATACATCAGGCTTCCCAACACTTGAGCATATAGCTTTTGTGATGTAGCTTTACCAGTGTTCTTTAATAAACTCAGATTAGAATCTACAGGGTTCCTCACAAGAGTTATTTTCAAACTCTTGAATTTCTCAAGAACCTTAGCT